CGGGCCATGGCGGCGAAGCCGAGGCCGCCGGGCCGCAGGCCGGCCGGCTTGAGGACGAAGCCGTCGGTGCCCGAGAAGAGGGCCTCGTTGATCTGCATGGCGGCGCCAAAGGTCTGCCAGTTGAGGGCGCACACCTGGGCGCCGACGGCCCAGAACTGGCGCGGCTGCAGGTTGCGCGAGCTGATGCGCGTGCCCTTTGGGTACACGCGCATGAGGTGGTGGGCGTTGTGGGCCGACACGTTGCGCGCCGCGTCGGGCAGCAGGCGCGCCAGCCCGGACTCGGACACGTTGATGAGGTGGTGGTGCGGCAGCGCCGGCTCGGCCAGCGCCGCCGCGTCCTCGAACCAGCTGTTGTTCTGCGGCTTGACCGACTGCGCGTACACGCCCAGGCCGGCGAGCGCGGGTATGACGATGCTGTTGGCGGCCGCCGTCTCCTCGCGCTTGCGCTTGTACTCGCGCCGCGCCCGGCGCTCCTCCTCGTCGTCCGACGACGTGTCGCTGTCCGAGTCCGAGTCGTCGGCGCGCTCGCCGGCGAAGTGGTACTCGACCATGACGACCACCTTGGACCCGAGCTCCTCGAGCCGCACGTGGTCGCCGTACCCGGGCTCCCCGGCGCCTGCCGCCGCCGCCGCGCGCACCGGCTCGCTCAGCAGCCGGTCGCCAAACACCTCGAGCATGATGTCGACCAGCCGCTGCTGGCCCTCGGCGTCGCAGTGGTTCTCGAGCGAGAGCAGGATCGGGGCGGCCTGGTATCCCTGGCGGTCGCCCTCGGCGGCCGCGGCCGCGGCCTCGCGGTCGACGACGTCGCGGATCGTCTCGCACACGAGCCGGAACGGTATGTTGGACACGAGCGTGTAGCCGTGCGTCACCTTTGGCTCGGCCCGGTCGTCCGGGTTGTCCCACGCGTCGATCTCGACGCAGCGCGAGCCCGTGTTGAGCGCCGTCTCGTACGCCGTCGCGCACGACGCGCCGAAGAGCTGGTGTGCCAGCAGGTACGTGTTGTGGCTCGAGCTGACGAAGTACTCGGGCAGCGGCCGCGACCGGTCCATTAGTGCCGCGGGCACTCGGATGTGCGACTGCTCCAGGAGCGCCTTGAGCGCCGCCGTCGACGGCCGCCCGTCGTCGTCGGCGTCGAGCCCGGCCTCGGCCTCGCTGAGCACCATGCGGTCGACCAGGAAGGACCGGAGCGCCTGGCTGACGCGGAGCTGGTTCTTTGTGATTTCCGACGTGCGCCCGCCGTGTCCGCCGCCGGCAACCGTGGTCGCGTCGATTTCTTCGCCCTTGTCATCGTCCTCGCTCTCCCTCCGCTTTTCAGGATTCGACGACGAGAAGGGATTTAGCCCGGATAGGCGTTTGGTTAAATCGGACATGTTGACGCTGTCGTAGAGGTATTTGGGTACGGAGATAAGGCTAGAATCCCAGAGGGAAGATGAGAGCGAAACGGGCCCCCAAAAGTAGGTTGGCCAGGCCAGGGGCTAGACAGGCCTGACAAGGTAAGGCGCATGTGAGCTAGGCAGAGGCAGCTGAGCAGATGGAGGGGGTGTCCTCGTGTGTGTGGGAGCGACACAAATGTGCACGGCGCAACCTAGCAAAGTCAATTGACACCGCTACCACCGGCGCGGGTCCCGCGGCGTGACAGGCTACGCCCTACTGTACAATGTATACTCCTGCGACGCGACCAGCACGACGCGGCCGAGCAGGGAAATGACGGAAGCGGCTGCGGGCCACAGCCTGGGCAGGCTATGATGCCATTCCATACCATGACGCCCTTAATCAGCGTCGTCAGCTTCCCCAGCCAAAAGACTTGGATGGGGTCGGTGGGGTTGGCAGGGGATCGAGGGGGTGACTCGGCGTGCCGAGTTTTCTAGAGTGGAAGAAGGCGAGTTTTGTCTGCTTCCAAGGTTGCCAAAGGTTGTCAGGCTATTCAGCGGCTTATCTGTCAGCAAGCAGCCCTACCGGTTCACATGGGAGTCCGCTGGGGGCCGCGGTCACTGCAAGGCAAGGGATACCACGCACTACAAGGGCACAGCAATTCCATGGTAAAAGTGTATCAATCAAGGTAATAAGAAATAGAAATTATGTGCCGTTGAGACATATACATGGGGGTATCCAAATATCGAGCCCTCGCCTCGCGAACAGGGCAGAAATAAAAGTTGCTCGGTGTACACCAGGAGCTTTTGGGTGCGCTGTGCTGACAGCGGATAAATCAAGGTTGCGCTTCTTTGCGCGTGGTGCGTATAAAAGAAGAGGGCATGTATCCAGATGGCCAGATGGAAGGAATGAAAGCAGGCGCCATGGCGTTCGTCACTCCCGCGGTGGCGGCGGCGGCTTGTCTCATATTGACCCAGCCACGGCGTAAACGAGCCAGGTCGAGACGACGCCCAACGCCAAGTTCATGGCGGCTCCGCCGCGGCGAACGCCCGAGTCGACCTCCTTGGCTGCGGCCGCGTTCTCGCTCGGCGGGTTGTCGACGACCTTGCCCGACGCCGCCGAGAGGACCTTGCCCGTCGGGTACTCGATGTTGTAGACGGGCTGGTTCGTCAGCACCGCCGGTACGCCCAGCCCGGACTTGCACTTGGGCTGGTTCTCGCCCGCGGCCCAGTCGGGCGGCGTGCAGACCTCGTCGTGGCCCCACGAGCAGACGGGGTCGAGCACGTTGTAGAGGGCAAAGTTCTTGGCCACCCAGCTGTCGGGCCGCGAGGAGACGCAGTTGTACAGAAAGTTCATGCTGTTGGACGCGCTCAGGGCCAACTTGCGGTCGGGCGTGCGCAGGAGCGAAGCGCACGCCTCGGGTTGGGCCTCGCGGTACTCCATGGCGACGGCGCCGCCGGCCGTCGGGTTCGCGCGCGCCGACGCACCCGTCATCAGGTAGTTCCATGCGTCGTAGCTGACGTCGAAGGCGCCCTCGGACTGGTCGACGCGCAGCAGGTGGACGGTGCGCCCCTCGTGGCTGAGTGAGATGCAGATCTTGTCGCAGTCGACGGTGCCGGGCCAGTACGCGATGCGGTTCGTGTCGACCTTGCAACCCAGCACGCCGACCGACGACGAGTACTGCGAGTGCGGCGTGGCCCACACCGTGCCCTCGGCCTGCTGGGCGGCGGCGCCGGGGAGTATGAGGGACGGTGACGATGCCGGCGCGAGGAGGTCGAGGAGGTGCAGGGCGCAGATCGCCGCGATCAGCGGCCGGCGCCGTGGGGAAAGGAGCGTGGGACAGCACATGGCAAGTGCATGAGGCGCAAAGACCAGGGGGCCAAGCCGAGACAGAAAAAAAAGAATGCAAGGGGCGATATAGACGCCGATGTATGTCTCTGAGAGTGTGCTGTAAGGACCGATATGCGCAAAAATAAACTGAATGAATGGCTTGCCACTGGTGCGGCCTGGGCTATCGGCTCAACTACCGAGCGAGGGCATCAACATGCGACATGGTCGGCGCAAGAGAAGAGAGGGTTGGGGAGTAGCAAAGACTCGGTCCACCACGGCGGCAGCAGACTCTCGAGCCCTCTCCCCTGTCTTCTCATTTCCCATCGTCAGGCACCTGCGCCAACGCGATTGGGCGACGCTGACGCAGGAACCAGGCCGCCCGGGATTCAAGGGTCATCCCCACGATTTAGCGCGGCCAGTCACGATTCACCATCTTGACAAAGTGGGGAGTCAAGGGAGGAAAATTTGGTTGGCTGCAAAAAAAGAGAGCACAGTGAGACATAAAAAAGAAAAAGACGCCCGTGCGACCACCAGCCCGAAATGCGGCCTGAGGCTGCAGCTGAAGCATCACTAGCGATGCCATTACGCTGGCCCATCACGGTCACTAGCAAAACGAATGTGCCACTTATTGCGATGCTGGTGGAGCAAGAGATGGGGAGGGCATCGTGTGGACACGATGGTGTAGTCGGCAAGTGGGGGACGGTGACGGCGACTCTAATGGCCGATGGCTGGTAGGTGACTGTCACTTGGCCTCTATGGTATCGAGTAAAACTTGGTTCGAGGTTCAGCTATCCCAAACCAGCAACAAAGCCGGAGATATGGGCGTGGCGGCTGTTGCCGCACAAGGCAATCCGGGATATTAAATCAGTATGTCGAAATGGGAACTGTGCCCGACAAGACACTTCTAATAGAAGTAAAGACGCGCGCTGTCTTTTAAGAAGGGCCCACTGACAACGCCCAGCGGCAGCTGCCAAGACAAGCATGTCGTGCTGTGTTTAGCTCCGACGCCACCATCCCTGAACACTTTTTCTTGAACCCCTTCGCAAGCGCCATCATCCTTTGTGCGTTAATACATATTCGTCCCAACTCCTTACCGCGTTTTTGTCGCTTTTGATACATGGCTCCTGTTGCGCCATTGTCTTGTTAGCAGGAGAGCGACGAACAATGCCATCCATGCTCTTTGTGCTCGCCCAACCGGCAGCGGGCGGGTAATCTTCAGCCAATCAGCCATAGGATCCCTCGCACCTCTCCAACATGCTCGTCGCAACCGCGCTGTCCGCGGCGTGCTGATGCACAGCATGGGGCCAATGTCGAGTCACGACCCTGGTGGACTGATAACACCTCCCGACGGTCCGAAGCTCGCTTTCTCCCCAACATCAGCGGAATCGAGCTCAAGCTAGCCTCTGAGCTGTGTTTCTGTTCGTAAAGCCTCGCCGGCCTACTCTCGCGACTACCCGAATGGCAACAACGAGCCATGCGGACCCACGTACTTAACCCCCTGGCCGCGGCCGTGCTCTGCGTGCTCTTCCCGTCCGTGGTATATTCGGACGCACCCTCGATCGGCTTGCAATGGCCCTCATCGGCCCCGTTAGCCCCCAGCCCAGAGGCCGCGCGTCGGAATGCCTTCAAGATCTTCAACGCCGTCCACTCGGCGGCCCGCCAGTGGGGCTCGTCCCTCGACCACAACGGCATGTCCTTCTTCCTCGCCACCGTGCCCGAGGGCAGCGTCTTCTTCCACGGCGACAGCAAGCCGGACAGGCCCGAGGGCGTGGAGTGGCTCGCCTTTGAGATGGAGCACGCCCAGGTGTTTGCCCGGTCCGAGGACCCCGAGAACTGGCCGCCTCAGGCCAGCCGGCATGATCTTCTTCGGTATGAAGGACACGGCAGCAAAAGTCTCCTGGCCCAAGCCGCGCCGCGTCCGGCGGTTCCCGGTTATCAACAACGCCCGATGGTCTTGTCGGACGGCGATTCCAGCGAGCCCGATGAGCATGGCGACGACGACGACGACGACGACGACGACAGGAGGCGCCGGTTGCGCCGGTTCCGCCCCGGCCGCGGCTACCTCCACACCTACCGCGCGCAGCGGCAGCTCAACCTACTCTACATCGACGGCATGGCGGCCGGCAAGTGCGCGTACGGGCCACTCGACACGCAGAACTACGTGCTGCTGGACTGGGATGTCAGCAGGCCCGACGCTGGCTGGAACGACGAGCTGGCACGCGCCAAGCAGCTGTGCGACGTCGCCAATACATGGGGCGACGCCGGCACGCCCATCGACGGCTTCGTGCGCATGGAGGCCGGGTTCGAGATCATCTACTGCCATTTTGAGGAGGGCGGCGGGCTGGAGCCCGTCGCCGTCGACGCCAGCCCCTTTATGAACGAGACGGGCTGGGTGGACTGGGAGGTTTCTAGGTTTGAGTGGATACGGGCATCCACGCTGAGATATGTGGGTGTTCATTTCCCTCGCTTCACACTTGCGTCAAACATGCATTGCTGACGTTGCCCCTTGCCGCCACGTAGAACGGTCTCCCCGCCGACAGGATAACCATCGACTGGTCGAGCATGGTCTCGGTCTTCTTCTACGACGTCAACATCACGAATCCGGACCCGAAGCGCCCCGAGCTCCCGCGGGTCCTCAACACCACCGCCCGGGAGCGGCAGGCCATCAAGCAAAGGGTCGGCGAGGTCCTCCAGGAGCGGCACCCAGCAAACAGACACGGCGAGGCGGCCGCCCGGACAAACATCAACTGGCAGGGGGTGGTGGACATGATCGTGACGAGGTACTCGGACCGGCTCGCCCTGCTGGCCAGCGGCGACCTGTCGACCGGCGAGTCGCGCTCCATGGCCAACTTCCTGCTCTCGCCCTTCACCGACGCCGCCGGCGGCCCCGCGCCGTACCGCCCGTCGCTCGAGCGCTGCGCGTCGCTCCACCTCGGGCCCGCGCTCGCGCGCAACGGCACCTCGGCCTGGACGGCCCAGGACGAGCTCATCGGCGCGGCCGTGGGGGCCGTGTCGCGCCGCATCTGCCAGGTGCTCGTCGACGCGTGGGTGGCGCTCGGCGGCTCCGGGTCCCGACGAGGGCAGCAACGACGGCAGGAGGAGCAAGAGGAGGTCGGGGAAGAGACGGTCAGGGTGGACGAGTGGGTGGCAGGGCTTGTCGGGGAGCTGGGCTGGACGACGTGGCGCGAGTGCGGCAAGTGCGCGTCGCCACGCGAGGTCTGCTTCGTGGCCATGTTCCCCTTGGGCGGGCCCGAGGACCACTATGCACCTCGGTGCAGGAACGCCACCGAGCTGGGCCGCGGAGGCGGGATGAGCTACTGGCGGTGGGATCCACGCGGCAACAACTCTGCGGCTGCGTCGGGCGAGTCGCCTTGACGTGAGAGCCTATCTACGTACGTGCCATGTAGTCGCACGATAACATGTTGTTTGGGGCTTGCAAGGAGATGTGTGCTCATGTCGTGGGTGGCGCTGTTGGGCGCATGTCATGCGGGACGAAGCGGCGCACTGATAGATAATTGGCAATACGGTGGTCGACGTCTAACCCCCCGACAGCAGCACGTAGCCGTTGCGGTTCCCGAAACGTGCAGGATAGAACACAGCTGCTCTGCAGGGGCTGATATCGCCGTATGAGCAATCCTAGGTGGCGCCTACCGCCTAGATAGTCCTGACCGAGGTGGCTGCCTCTATCTCGGCTCATTCGGGATGTCGACGGGCCGGATGCCACATCCGCCTTGCTCCAGTTGCTATCAAAGCGGGCCACTATTGTGGCTCTTGCCATCGCCTGATGTACGCGCAGGCACTTGCTCTCCGTCCAGCTGGGACGCACACAGAGCCCACAACATCAGGCACAGAAACACCCGACTGCTTGGTCTTATCTTTATGACTCGTCCAACGCCAAGGACGGAGTCGGGAAGGGGAAAAAGTGGCGGTGGGGGGAACGGGATGATCAGTGGGTTGTGGTCTGTGGGACAGACGCAGTACCTACCGCCCGTCATCCATTGTGGGCCGTTTCCCCAGGGGCAAGCGATAGGGAATAATGGGGAACGAAACATCGACGGGGTGGGGGATCATGACAACCAAAGCCAATACATGTGAAGCTGAACGTCGATAGAAAATGCCTCGCCGCCGCCGCCGCGTGACGGCGGCGTTTTCCTGACCGGCGGATCAGAGAGTAACGCAATAGCGAAACCGCTACCACACTGGATTTGATAAGACGGGAGCAAGCAGGCTGGCCAGCGTGGGGGTCCTCCGTATATTCTTTGCCGAGCGACGTGGAGTGCCGCAATATGCACATTGGAATGGAAAAGTGATGTGAGCCCACAGGCGTTGGCAGTTCAGCCCAGCCTCCTCCTGCTTGGCCTCCCGTCCTCCTGCTTTGGTGTCGCTTCCGGCTTATTAGATCTTTGGCCACATGATCGATCCGTGGTGTGCCCCTTTTTGCAATCCGAGGGACGAGCAGACAGGCTCGTCTCACCCTCCCTCCTGTGTGGTCCAGCGCCGACCGGCGAAGCGCCCCGCAGGTCGGACCATGTGTGGGACAGCAGGAGAGCACACCGCCTGCACGGCTTGTAATCCTGGCATTGTGCGCCTATTACGAGGCGCAACAGGTCGCCTGCATTCAACGAATGGAGAATCTCAGAGAGCAGGTTGGTGGTAGGTGGTGCACCTCGGGAAGTAGCATTTTGTAACTCGCGCATTGGTAGAGATGCAGAACCAGGCACATCACCGACGATGCTGCGACAGATGCTGCCCATTCTTGCGCGCCCAAAATCACAAGGCTCTACTCCATAGTGCTCGGCGCCCGACTCCCAAACCTCCAAACAAGACACAGCAACCCAAACACGAAAAGGCAGACCACCCCATCGCCAGAGCCCACTGCCCACTCCCACTGCCATGCCACGCATCCCCTCCGTGCTGCTAGTGAGGGGCTCCTTGCAGCGTGGGGCCGTCTTAGTTGCAGCTCTAGTGGGCAAGCATGGCAAACCCCAGCGCCCAAGGCCAGGGCTGATGGCGGGCGCAAACATTGGGCCAGAGCTCCACCGCGGTGCGCTAGCGGACCGGGGAAGCCCAAGTTGCGGGCGCGGGGCAGTTACTGCCCTGTCCCTGCCCCACGCCTTCTGTTGAGGGGCAAGGGAGCTCTGTCCGTACGTCGAACCACATTCTGCCGTGCGCCGACTGAGCTCCATGCAAGAGCAGGAAGGAAGGAGGGAGGGAGGTACTGGGAGGCGCTGGAAACGGACGGGAGTCTGCTGCCGCTACCACTCTAGGCACGGCTGCCCAACTCGCACGGGACGACCGACGGCTGGGACAAAAAGAAAAACTAACACCACTTGCAAAGTCGGAATACACATCTTGTGCTTTTCAACGTGGCGTATTCGGTAGGTCGAGGGGCAGGTGATCGATGGGTGCAGTACATCTCCCCGGCGTCAAACAAGCAAGTCTTACGGACTGCTGCGTTCTGCACTCTGCGTTCTGCGCTGTTGCGTTACTTGCGCGTCGAATGGAGCTCTGGTAAGACAGCTCTGCCAAGACGCAGCAACCCCAAGCCGGAAATTTGGTGGTCTGCGGGAGTTGACCCAGGCCCGGGGTGATCTTTGATGTCATACAATCTGTGCCAAGAACCCACCGGCCGGTAAAGAGCTCTGCTTTGGACCCCCCCGCCTGGACCCTGTTTATCCATGCTCCTTCTTGCCCCTCTTGTAGATCTTGGTGGGATAAGCACTCAGCATGTGGCCGCTTGCGATGCCCAACGCGCAATTTCCTGTCTGGAGGCTCTCGGGCTGCCTGGCTGCCCTCAACGAACTAGGGTGACACTCGACTGTCGGGTGCCCGTTGTTTCGTTTCTCGACAGCCGCGGGGATGCTACAACGGCATCTGGGTCGAGGCCGAGAGAAGCGAGGGGTGGGTGGAGGCCAGGCCCGACTGCAAACGGCAACCCCATTACCGGGGAAAGAACGTTACCGTTTTTGCGGCTTGGGCGATGGCAGAAAGAGGTAGACAGTCGCCATTATGGGCGAGCTCGTGTCCTGATGCTTGAAGGTGTAGCTGTAAAGTGGCATGCGAATAACGTATGACCAAAACGACCCCTGCGCCGGCTTTTTCCCAAGGTTCCTTCCCTTCTTCTTCAAGGCTCCACCCAGTCCATAAGTCCATGCAAACGCGTACCGAGACTGACGCCCAGTCGAACGTCGGCCAGCCATCTGTACTCTGTTCCGTATGTAGATCTAGAAGCTGCAACCTAGCGCCAGATGCACGCACTCGTCCAACGGCAATAGAGAAGTCAAGGGGGCGACTTTGACGGGCATGAATGCAGACCAGTCCGGGCTCTAGAGCCCCTCTGCTGCAACGGTAGAGCAGCTTGACGCCACCACCTCAAGGCAACAATCAGGATGTAGTGCAGCTCCTCCAACAGTCGGTGAATGCAGGTCTGTGGAGGAGGGAGGTGAAGGAAGGAAGGCGTGGCACGCAGAGAGCTCTCAGAGCTGCATGCTCTTGGATCTGTGCTCTGCAGGCAGAGGAGGGGGCGGACCTGGGCTCCTGCCTGCACTTGGGTCTGTTGTCAAACTGGCAAAGGGCCGTGGCGTGTGTCACCGCCTTCCCGAACCTGCCGTGGCCCCAACTGCTAATTTGTTCCCGACGAGGAAGGCACCTGGGAGCAACGTCGAGGCTCGTCACCCCCTCAGGACGCCAAGTCGCATTGATGCTCTTCCCAACTTGTGCCCAGCCCGTACCCCAGCCCACGGCCATCCCACCTCAGCCTGCAGCTCTCCCACCCTTTCCCACCTCCTCCCACCACACCATCCCGCCACCCACAACCCACAACCCACCCCAACCTTGCAACCCGCATTGGGTTCCTTTTGTTTTTCTCTTTTTTTTGTCTCGTCATCTCGACCTAACCAAACAAGGCCGTCCTCGCGGCACACGAGGATCCAGGTCCTCAAACCAAACAAAACCCGACCTCTTCCCCTCCTCCATCCTCTCGTTTTGTTCTGTGTTTCCTGATCCTCATCCTTCTCTCCGCCCAGACGCGAACTCTCGCTAGCCTGGTCGTCTCGTCTCTTGCAAATCCGCATCATCTCCAAAGCATCGCCCGCCTTCCCAGCAGCCATGGCCACGGCTCAGAAGACGGCGGTTCGTCAGTTCTCGACGGGCGCTTCGGCGCACCGTCGTCGACAGATGAGCACGCTGATCGAGAAGGAGGGTCACTTTGGCGTCGAGCTCACGGTACGTCTATCACTCCTCGCTCACATCTCCTCCTTGCAGATTCTTGTTCCGTCCTACATTTGCGGACGTGGCCGCTGATCGTCCTCTATTCCCGTCTGAAAGACGCTGTACCTGGGTATCTCGGCCGTTTTTGCCGACGACCACACTGCGGTTGTCGCCATGGCCATCCATGATACCACCTACCTGATCGACTTCTCGATCAAGCATCTCGTTCTCGATGATGCCCTGAAGATGGGAGAGGATGTTATCGCCGACTACGTCATCACGGCTACAAAGGAGTACGAGAGGGAGAACTTCGCCAAGTTTATTGGCGCCGGTCTCCCCACGACTCTCAGGTACATGAGCCCCACTCTGTGCTCTCGCCTTTGGCTTGAGCTTGACGTTGTCCCGATTGCCATCCGTCCCGACAATGAACACAAGGAAATCACTTTCTGGGATGTCAAGCGCGTCGATGAACAGGCCGACTCGATGGCCCGCAAGTGCATCATGTAAGTCTTTCTCTCTGATTAACAATGTTCGCAATCGGAATCTAGCTGACACGGCAAAAAGGCACTTCGGCCCATCGCTCTCTCCTCTGTTGCATGTCGGCTTCCGTGGCGTCGTTCAGACCGACGCCGGCTTCAGGGCTCATCTCAACACTGTACAGAACCACAAGGACACGGCATCGGCTGCCACTTGGGAGACTATGCTGCGCTTTGCCAAGCAGCTGCGCGGCAACAAGACCAAGATTGCCTTCTTCAGCAGCACGCCCCAGGGCGGCGGCGTCGCTCTCATGCGTCATGCTCTTGTCCGCTTCGCGCGCCTCGTCGGCGTGGACCTGACGTGGTATGTCCCCAAGCCGCGTCCTGGTGTCTTCAGGATCACCAAGAACATCCACAACATCCTCCAGGGTGTTAGCCACCCCGATCAGCGCATCTCCCAGGAGGAGAAGGACGCCATCATCAGCTGGATCACAGAGAACGCTCAGCGTTACTGGTTCTCGGAGGGTGGCCCTCTGCGCCCTGCTTCGGAGGGTGGTGCCGATGTTGTCATCGTAGGTTTCCTCCCCGGCCCCGATTTCCACTATCTCTGGCGCTCGCTGACTGACGCACGACAGATTGATGATCCGCAAATGCCTGGCCTGATCCCCATGATCAAGAAGATCACGCCGGACCGCCCTGTTCTATACCGGTCGCACATTCAGATTCGCAGCGATCTTGTCGCTAAGGCCGGCTCCCCGCAGGCCGACGTCTGGGACTTCCTCTGGAGCAACATTCAGGGCGCCGACATGTTCATCAGCCACCCCATCCCCATCTTCGTGCCCCACAACGTGCCTCGCGAGAAAGTCACGTACTTCCCCGCCACCACAGACTGGCTTGATGGCCTGAACAAGCCCCTCAGCCGCTGGGATGCTGGCTACTACGGCCACCTGTACAACGTCGCCGCCCACTCTCAGCGCCAGACCGAGCTTAACTGGCCGGCCCGCAAGTACATCATCCAGGTCGCGCGTTTCGACCCGGCCAAGGGCATTCCCACCGTCATTGACTCGTATGCCGAGTTTCGCCGCCGCTGTCCAGAGAACGGAATCACCGACATTCCTCAGCTTATCGTCTGCGGCAACGGCTCGGTCGACGATCCGGATGCCTCGATGATCTACGACCAGACAATGACCCAGATGGAGACGCACTACCCTGACCTGATTAAGGACGTCAGCATCATGCGCCTCGAGCCCAACGACCAGCTGCTCAACACCCTCATCGCTAATGCCCATGTGGTCCTGCAGCTCTCCACTCGTGAGGGTTTCGAGGTCAAGGTGTCCGAGGCGCTCCACGCCGGTCGCCCCGTCATTGCCACACTGACTGGCGGCATCCCACTCCAGGTAAAGGACAATGTCAATGGCTTCCTGGTCCAGCCCGGCGACTTCAAGGCTGTTGCCGGTCATCTCATCAACCTCTTCAAGGATGAGGAGCTTCACAAGAAGATGAGCCACGAGGCTGCCACTGGAGTTTCTGACGAGGTCGGTACTGTCGGCAACGCTCTCGGCTGGTTCTATCTGGCCGCCAAGTGGCATGAGGACGGCGTCGAGAAGAACGGCAAGGGTGGTCTCCGCGGTGACGAGAAGTGGGTCAACGACATGGCTCGCGACGAAGCCGGCTTTGCCTACGCTCAGAACGAGAACCGCCTGCCCCGCCACTTTACCCAGAAAAAGTAAAGTATGAGCATTGAGAGTCCTTTGTCTACCCGGCATCATTCAGCTCTCTTCACTTCGCCTTCCTTTTGTCTCTGATCTCTTCGGAATTGTGTGCCGATGAGGCTATCACTGCCTTGTTCATGATGTTTGCTTTGCGTTGCCTTTTTGTCTGGAATTTTCAACACGGCTTTTGTGGTGGCGCGTCGTACACAAAATACGAAGGGATTTGCTGGAGCTGCCTGTGCTCCTGCTAATGATTTTCTTTGTCATTTTCCTTTTTTTCGCGATGCCTTTTCTCTTCCCACCAAAAGTTGACTTTTCCATTCTTTCTATTTTCCACTGGCGCACCTCTGGTAAACTACCACAACGTCTTTCTGTGGTCTACCTCCCAGGTAGTCGCCATAGATTAGTTGGGATGGGACATTTCCGTCACTTGACCATCTTCTGTCCGCTGTCTTCTCTATCTGTTTACTATTGCCTGATGTTTCGAATCTCGCCGTTTACGGTTTTATTGTTTATGGTTTCATTCCTTTTCTTGCATGGTGCCGTTTTGGCACGATGGAGGTAAAAGTCAGCTGCGGTGTAGAATGGTTCTAGCTAGATCCCTTTCTCATACAGATGCTTAGAGAATAAACCAGAATTCTTGTTGAAATGTGGATACTGCGCCTTTATGGGAAACTTGACAAGGCTATCACCTCCCACTTAGCCGCGATACTACTGTGTCTTTATGGATTTCAAGAGCAGGTCTTCAGATGTTAGTTAAGAGGACACTAGTTTGATGTCCTCATGCTTGCTAAAGACGTAATTAATCAACACTCCTCTTTGTTCTGGCTGCCACAATCCTCGTTTCCTTTACTAATTAACCAGTAAATTTCGTGGCTGTAAACGCTTGTTCTATCGACCGTTTTAAGAAAGAATAAAAACGCAAAGCGAAATGATTACTCTTCATGAATTTATGACCCACACATTGCAGACAGAGGCTAGTGGAATTAAGCCTCATTGGCTGTAGCTAGAGTTGAACACACGACTTTTTGAGTTTACCCAAGACTTTCCAGTTCCATGATGAGTTTTTAAGCTTTAGACTTTTGGGAAATGGCAGCCGTAACCCTCAGAATGATTATTTACTAGGTGATTGATCTTTTGGGAAACTTGGGAAATTGCGTTGAGATTCGTCCGTAATTATCATGCAAGTTGGCTCCGTACCTATATATTATCTACCGTAACGCATTACTATAAAGTGTAGGTAATCACCGTGGTCTCTAGCATTTATAGTGAGAACTGGAAGTTTAATGGTAATGGCATCGCGAGTATTATTGATTAAAATCTACAGTGTCCAAGCCGTACTGCTCGTATCTTTGCGTAGAGCGGACGGCGTGGTATGAGCAGGACTGATTATTCAGAGTCGCAGTCCCTAAACCGGAGACTGAGCTCGGCTGCGCTACTTGCTTACCTAGAACAGCCGGTATGTCCATCGGCCCTCGGAGGCAACAGCAGCACAGCGACAGGGGGTGCGACCTGATTTGGCTACAAGAGAGAGTGTGTGTGGGGGGTCACTTACCGTCAGCCCTCGCCGTGCGATCAGCGGCTCGAGGAGGAGCTGCGCTGGTCCCGGAGCCAGGCGTCCACGATTAGCACGAACTCCTCTAGTGCGGCCGTCTTGCGCGCGTGGTCCCACCGGAGGTTCTCCCAGAAGATCTCCCGCCAGGGCCGCAGCTTGCGGGCAACCAGGTGGCTCGCGGCCGCGGCGGACTTTGCCAGGGCCAGGATCTCCTCCTGCGTCTTCTCGTCGCGCCGCTGCTCCTCCTCCTCGGTCGCCGTCGTCGCCGTAGTCTCCTCGCCCTCGTCGTCCCCGCCCTTGTCCTTTGAAAGGCCCTTGCGCAGGGCGGTGGCGTCCTTGAGCAGACCGAAGAGGCGGGCGTAGACGTGCAGATCTAGGATTTCGCAGGCGGTCAGGTCGGCGACCACGCCGTCATCCCTCACCTCCTCCTGGCCGGCAGCGGCGGCGGCGATGCGCCCGGGCCGGGGGAGGAAGACGGAGAACGTGCGGGAGGCCAGGGTTTGGTCGCCGCCCAGGAACCGGTCGAGCGCCCGGTAGAGATGTGAGCACTCGGAGAGCATGTCGCCGAGCGCATGGAGAGTCTGGTGCAGGCTCTTGTGCTGCGACTCGCGGAGCGCCTTGCGCTGCGAGGCCTTGGCTTCCTCCGGGGTCTCGGCCTGGTGGTTCGGCTCGAGCGCCCGGCTCGAGGCGAAGCTGAGGAGCCGGTTGGAGCCCCGGTAGCGAATCGGCCGCTGGGCCGAGCTGGAGGACGAGGGGCTCGACGAGCGGGGGCTCGAGGTAGGGGAGGCAAGGGGAGACCACATGATGGGCTAGATCGGGGGCTGGTCTTCAGCGGGATGAGATGACACTGCAGGAGTAGATGGTGGCTGGCCGCTTCTCGCTTCTCGCTCGTAGTCTGCTACTTTCTCTGTAGGTTCCCTGACTTTCCCGATTTGGAGCAAGCGGGCCGGGATCATAGGGCGCCGCGAATAAATATCGACGCTGCATCGAGTGTGTGAGTGTTGCGCAACAAGGGCGAAGGCTGCCCTGGCGGCTGTGAATCATGGCTTTGTCTCTGCGGCTTCCATTGTTTCTTGTCTCCTCGGGCCGTCTCAGCCGCGGTCACTGTGTTCTTTGTTCTATGCCCAACCGTGATTTGTGCTTGCCAAGGCGGCCATCGTGAGCTGGTCTCGGGGTCGGCTGTGCGCATTTGGTCGGTCGGAGGGTGATGAAGACAGTCGCACAGCAAAGTCGAGGTAGGGTGTCGCAAGGCATCGTTGCAAACTTGGGAACAACATGGCCGGCGCTTGTTGTTGCCTGAACCGAGGCCAAGTTTCTGTCGATGAGCCTGATGTTGAAAGAAGAAAAAAAGGCTGGTCGCAAACGTGCATGCGCTAGTGATGGCACAGGCCGGCGAGCGGGGCCAGGAGTACCGTCTGGTTCCTGCAGCTTGGTCCCCATTACCAAAAATGGGCTGACGGCTCCCCGGTTCCGCCCGCGTGTAGGGCGAATGTGTTCCCTAGACGATCTCGGTAGCGAATGGGCGTGGATCTGGGAATTTCTGGGAGAGAATTAGCTTGTCCGCGCAAGTACCGGAAAGGGAAATCTGGCCCGTTAATATCAATGGCGAGGCGACGAGGGGCGGGTGCGATTGGGGGAGGAAGAAAAACTGGCATGATGTTGTGTTTTTGGAGTTAGCCTCTGGGGGCTCGTCTGTTTGCTGGGCGGACTGAAGAATCGGAACACTTTTTTTCAGCTTCAAGATGCAGCAGATCTTGTTGAGGAAGCTTTTCCGCGGAATCAAATTTCTACTGGAAGAGAATAGGGATGGATTGCAAATAGACGCGGCGTAATATAGAGGCATCGATTTGAGGGGAGGATGGCTGTGTTGTCTTTTTAGAACCCTGAGCTTCTTTTGTTTACCCCTGATACACCATATGATGAATGCAGTGTCGGGCCCGACACCTGGTCTTGGCCGTAATGCCCCTCAACCATTCCAAATACCCTTCACCTGATAGGCGTCAAGATGCATCCTGGGGTGCACTGCGACTTCAAATCGTGGCAGTACCTGGGGGTTCGACCACAGCACTGGGATCGTTTTGGGCATGTGGCTGGCACTTGATTGGCCTGCAGCAGACCCCTTAAATAAGGCCCAAGCTGAGTCAGCTCGTCCGGGCAAAGCCGCCGCGGAGATGTAAAGCGCTAAAGTCCATGTTGGATTTTTCGAAAACCCACTCGGTACGCTTCGGGGCCTTCCCGCAGCACAAGAGCAGTCGGGCGAATACCAGACGGGGCAAAGTGAACTGATTATGGCACAGCTCTTACAAATCGCTCGATCCGCTGTGGCCCGGTGAGGACTGGGTCTCGATGACTCCCGAGGGCCAGCGGGTCCCTGGACTTTGTGGGGGGTTCCCTCGCCGATGCTCCAGCAATGCCCCATCGTACGATGCCTTCCAGCAGCGTCGCCGAGAGAAATCTTTTTTGGCTTGCAAGGTCAGCTCAGCATCGACATCTCCGCGCGGACGAGCGTCGGTAAGATGGACCTACAAGGAGACAGATGCCATCTGGGAGTTGGTTAAATACGCGTCGCGTCCATCCATCATCTCTAGGTAATCAGAACTTGGTCTCCATCAAGCAGCAGCCAGCCAAGCACTCTCCAAATGTACAGGGTTTCAACTGTTGTCCCGCGACTCGTACCTTCTACCCAGTCTCTTGGACGCCACGCCAGACTTATCCGCATCGCTTCAGCCATCTCAGCCTCCCAGCTGTCCCCATTGCGCGCGGCAGCATCACGCATCACCGCCCCGGCAGCATCGCGAGCATATAGCAGCAGCATGTCCGGGCCCGAGACGACGCAGGCCAACGGCTCCGCGGCCCCGGCCCCGGCGGCCAGGCCGGCGCCGCCGACGCTGACCCCGGAGCAGATGGCCATCGTCAAGTCGACGGCGCCGGTGCTCAAGGAGCACGGCGTAACCATCACGACGCTCTTCTACAAGAACATGATCAACGCGCACCCGGAGCTGCGCAACGTCTTCAGCTCCACCAGCCAGGCGACGGGCGCCCAGCCGCGCGCCCTGGCGGCCTCGGTGCTGGCCTACGCCACCTATATCGACGACCTGGGCAAGCTCACGCACGCCGTGTCGCGCATCGCGCACAAGCACGTGTCGCTCAACATCCGGCCCGAGCAATACGACATTGTGGGTCACCACCTGATCCAGACCATCGGCGAGGTGCTGGGCGACGCCGCCACGCCCGCCATCGTCGACGCCTGGACGGCCGCGTACGCGGTGCTGGCCGACGTCTTCATCGGGCTCGAGAAGGGCATGTACGCCGAGCACAGCGACTGGATCGGCTTCCGCAAGTTCAAGGTGCTGCGCAAGGTCAAAGAGTCGGACGCCATCACGTCCTTCTACCTCGCGCCCTCGGACGGCCGCAAGCTGCCGCCGTTCAAGCCGGGCCAGTACGTCAGCCTGCAGCTCTTCGTGCCGCAGATGGGCCACCTGCAGAGCCGCCAGTACAGCATGAGCGAGGCGCCGCGCCGCGAGGGGGACTACTACCGCATCAGCGTCAAGCGCGACGACGGCACGGGCCTGGGCGGCCTGCCCGACGCGCCCGGGATCGTATCGGTCAAGCTGCACGACGAGGTCAAGGAAGGGGACGAGGTCGAGGTGTCGCACCCGCAGGGCGAGTTCTTCGTCGACCCGGCCGAGGCCGAGGGCAAGCGCGGCGCCCCCTTGGTGCTGCTGTCGGCCGGCGTCGGCGCCACGCCGCTCATGTCCATCCTCGAGAGCGTCACGGTCGACCCGGCGGCGCCCGAGGCGGCCCGGACGCGGCCCGTGTCGTGGGTGCACGCGTCGCGGTCGTCGGGGCTCCGGCCCTTCGCGCCGCGCGTGGCCGAGATCGAGAAGGCGAGCGGCGGCCGCGTGCGCGCGCGCCACTTCCTGAGCGCCGTCGACCCGGCCGTGGACGTCGAGGGCGTCAGCTACCACCACGGCGGCGCGCGCATGGACCTGGCCCGGCTGGACAAGGACGCCGACCTGCACGTCTCGGACCCCCGCGCCGAGTACTACCTCTGCGGGCCCGAGGCCTGGATGCTCGACACGAGGGAGCGACTCGAGGCTATGGGGGTGTCGCACGACCGGATACATCTGGAACTGTTCGCGACGGGCGACGTCCAGTAGGCTTGGGAGGAAACGGTTGTTTGATTGGTGGTGGGGGGTGATCCGATAGCACCAAGTCCCCCTTGATCGCGTTTGGTGTCTGGTGTCGGTGTCGGGCTTTCCCCTCCTTGCTTTACCCCAAATTGTTTTTTTTTTTTCAATGTTTCCTTCCTTGATACTCCCCGATCATGTACGAGCGCTACACATAACCTCAGGCTACTTTAACTGCCGGTATACCTTGTCTCGGCCGCTGGCCATGCTCGTTGACTCTGCGTGGCTCCTATCACCTCACGTCCTCCTCGCCACATGGCCCGTCTAGATGCACTCACGTTCCTCGAGATGGAGGGCAGTCTCTGGCGGTGTGCCGGGCCCTGTGCCTCTCCGGCGACGATCGCGCTGGCCAGCCACCCATCTGAGTGCCACGCCAGTGTCGATGCCGCGGCTCGAATCGGTCGCACAGGGTCGTGCTTTGGCGACCGCCCTGCCGCCTCCAGGTTTCACAGCCAACCCTCGCTGTGCGACCTGGCCCTTCCTTCCAGCTGAACCCTCGCATTATGGCTGCTCTCGATTCGCCGGGGAGTGGTGGAACCACTTACAGGGGGGGTGTTCATATCAGAGAATGAAGATGGATGGGTGATGGATCTGTGCGGCGGTGCGCGCCGGTGCCGGGGGGTCGAGGGCCGATCTTGATGACGGGATCCTTTAACACTGATCCTGCGGACGGCCCCTTACACGACATGGAAGCAAGGAGCAGATGGTCCAAACATTTTGGCCGCTGGCGTCTGACCGGGTTCTGGGAGGCAGGGGAGCCTCCGTCGGTCGGGCCCGAGCATGGGCGGGGTGGGCAACCGCATCCCCCGACCCTTTGGCCTTTAGGCGCTCGCCGGGCTGCCCTTTTTTGCGCGGCATCGAGATCTCGCGTCCACGGCTCCCGGCAGACCTTTTCCCTCCGATTTTGCGATTCCGGAACAGCTGTCCGCTGCGGGTTTCCAAAACATTCATCCCGGCCCGGGCTCCCTGGGAGCAGGAAAGATAGTGTGGTTTCGCAGAAAAAGTAAAAGAAATGCCCACGGAGGAATGGAGATTTGTTTCTCTGTCGAGGAAAGATGCCTCTCTGCCCCTGAATCCCTTGCGTCTGTCACAATACCCCGTCCTCGCCTCTCTCGCTGATCTCGCTGATCTCGCTGACCCCGCTGGCCATTGGTTCCCGACCCAAGACATGCTTCAGAACCTGCGTCTCCCTAGCCGTTACTGTCCTAGCTGACAGAGGTTTGGCGGGTACTCCTCCTCTTCCCCCCCTTGCGCATGGGATCCCTCCCGCTCCTCACTTGTCCCCCCTATCTCCTCGACCCCCCGCTTGTGGCCGCTTTAGCGAACGCCACCAGACAAAAGAAGGATCGCGCAGGCTCCCCGAGATCACCATGGTGTGTGTCACAAGGCGAGATCCAGCGAGATAGGTGAGGCATGTGCTACGAAGCGCCGGGGTGGGAGGAAGTGTCCTTTTTTCTTTCTCTCTTTGCAAGGTGGACATCTTTGGTGGTCGCACTATCGTCGGACAGATGCTCACCCCCGTACTAGGCCACGAACCTCGCTCGCTCCACCGCCTCTCTTGCTCGGGGCATCTTCTGCCGGCTGTACTAAGATGGAAGAGTCTTGGTTACCGAGGAAAGCTGCCTGTGGGTAGAGTTGCGAGATTACCGCTCGGGAGAGAGACAGCGTGCACGAAGAGATTGTAGCGAGAGAAAGAGAGAGAGAGAGAGAGAGAGAGAGAGAGAGAGAGAGAGAGAGAGAGAGAGAGAGAGAGAGAGAGGAGCAGCAACATCAGCACGGCGCATATACCAGGCCCGTCTCCGGCCAAACCAACGCGCCTGGGCACGAAAGATGGGAAATCCCGCGAATTGGCCAATGTCCGCTTCCAAATACGCCAAAAGTACGTTCTTGGCTGGCTACTACTGACGCGGGGGACTTGTGCTCGTCTGTTAGTATAAGTAAGCAGCTGAGCGAGCCAGTCCTGGGTGCAGCTATGTGATAGAGCTGGAGCTATATACAGCCAACGTCCTAATGCATGACGGCGGTTAGTTGAGGGAGAGAGAGAGAGAGAGAGAGCAGAGGGAAAAAAAAACCACACCATCCCGCCGTCCGTCCTGCATGCGGGCCCATGCTGTCGTGGATGGGACGTAATGGAATCTGGTCCGTTGGTAGCGAATCGCAGCTGTGATTGGAAGGCTACCCCTGTCGCCCTCGCCTCAACCTGCACTTCTGTACGCACGCGGAAGCGATAGGGCGCTCCCGCCGACGCCCACCACGCGCTATCCCATCACAGCGCAGTTGAGCGCGGGTGATTGCGCAAACGTACGGGCGCCCTTGGTCTTGGGTGTGGAGAGCTGAGTAGGAGAAGGAGGAAGAGGAAACACCCAGGCGAGAGAGTCGCATTGTCTCGACCAACACTCACCACCCTGCATATGCTCGAACGCTGTGAGGGATTCCATGGATATGTTTGATGGCCGTCACGCTGCAAGGCGCATCTTTACCGATGCCTTGCGTCCGAAGCCGCCCAAGCGAATTGTTGCACATTGCCTGTGTATTTATTTCCTTTTTTGGTTTCCTCCGCGGCACCGCTGCCTGGGGCCTACTGCCCACACAGCTTTTGGATGCTGTCGGGCAAAGTGAGGGGAAGGCAAGCCACCAAAGGCAGGCCAAAAGCCGGCTTCTCACCCGTCCGCAGGTTCAGTCCACAGGTCTGGGTGGCGGCTCGGGCGGCTCCACCGGTCAAGCCTCGCAGCCATTAGTGACTGATCGATGAGCAAGTCCGGCAGGCAATGGCGGTACCTGGGGGATCGTGGACTGCGAGAAGCCGGATTGGGTGCGGCCAAGGAGGTGGTGGTGGTGGCAGCCTCCAGCGCGGGCGGACTTTCTTGTCGCCCACACACCAGCTCAGACCAGCTCAGACCAGCAACCACCAGCACCCACACCACATGCATTCTGCTTCTGACAGGACACCCACACACCTTGAGTGGTCTGGCTGCCGGTTTCTGACAGTTGTCCGCGTGTCGTCGCAGTAGGTCCTCGATATATCTCTGGCGAGGAAAGTCAGCCGACTGCGGCTGGACGGGCTGCCTCAGCGTAGATAAAAAAAGAAAAAAAAGGCCCCAGTTGATGCTCGGCCGAGTTAGTGCCATGTGCAATGATACCTTTCCCACGCTTCTGACGGGCAGGGCGGGCAGAACGTTCGAGCCGGTCGGTTTCAGACGCGGCCAGTCCAGTGCGGGCCGCTGTAGACCCCCGGGCAGAAATTGCGTGCCTTCTGTGCTTGGCACGCACACACTTGGGCGTGTTGCAGCTCCGTCCCAGCTGGCCGCTGGCCCAGGAAGAAAGCTTGCAGGGGTTAGCGAGGCTCCACTGTGTATATTGGCAAGGATGGACGCTGGGAATGGAGCAAGCCTTCACCGACGCTAGTGACGGCCGAGCACTGGCGCGCATCCTTCTGCCCCTCCCCAAACTCCACACTGAACCGAGGGGAGGGAGCTTGGGTTGCTTCCAGGTCGGGGTGCGACGGCGTGGCGGGCGGCAGTAATTGTCCGCAAGGCCCTGGCATAGCTGGACTACTACTCCCATCTTCTTTCTGGATATATCAGATATTGGATGTATTAGATATCATGGACCAATGATGAGCCCAAGTGCTGCTCGTCCGGCTACAACCATGACAGAAATCGACAGCAGCCCTTCCAGATATGTCGTCCCAAGCAAAGTACAGCCTGGGCCCTGTCCGCTTGGGGGCGCTAGAGGTGTGGAGTCGAGTGGTCCTGGCCTAGCGCGGTGACGACACCTTGCCGCTTTGGGAGCTTGCCCGGGGCTTCTGCATCTCAACCTTTGTTTTTCCTTGGCGTTGCTTTTTTCTCGACATCCCGTCTCCACGTCGCCCATACCTACCCGATCCGAGCAGGAAAAGCTGCCTGGCTGGCCAATCACGCATGCCCTCCCGACACACCATGCCGACATCTCCAGCTTCCTAGTGCTATTCCGGCATGGGCCTCGAGCTGGGGACGCCCGGCCCGCGTCCCTGGACCCTGCCTCGGACTCGTCCTGCGCTCTCGTTGGCTGCCATCAGCTGGCCAGAGCAACGCCCGTGATAGCGAATCCCACACCCTCGGGCTCGCAGGGAAGCCGTCTCGGTCGATATCAGCATTCTCTGCCCACCCATGGAATCTGGGTACATGATCCTCCTCACACCGGTCGGCCGTCCCAATTCCCAATTCTCCCACCCTCCCTCGTTGCGACCAGTCCCCGCGTAGGGCTCGCCCCCCCTCATCCGCGTCGCCGTACCAATGGGCTGGTCCTCTCCCCCCCGGCTGGCGACGGGAGTCCGTGGCCTTTGCGTGTGGGTTCCCACCCCCCATCAAACACACCCTTCCTCGAGCCACGCCGATCCCAAAAATGCAGCAAACGGCCCACTGCGAGGCGCCGCCGTCGGGCTGGGCTCCCCGCTCCAGACCTCGGTTCCCTCCTGCTCAAACGTCTGATTGGTAACCGGCAAGACTTGAGATACTGAGCGGCGGGCACGTCATGCGAGCAATAAGCTCATCATCCGCTTCCCCTATCCTTGTTTGGCATACCGGGCCGTCGCCTATCGCAGCTGGGCTCTGGGCTGAAAGCATCCCCTTTCTTTTGCAGAGCTCCGGCACCTCGGGTCCTAAGCACGGCGTGGTGCAAGTGGCTGGGCCGATGCACACAGTGTAGCCCTCATATTCCAGGCTGGGATCGAGGGACGGAGGGACAATCGCCCGTCTTTGCCAAGGAGTGCCGGCGGCACCGTGGAACTCTGCCCGCAGCCCACAGCCAAGAACGGGACACACACACACACACACCCACGAGAGCCCCAACTCCCCCGAGGTCGAGTCAGTCCCCGTCCACGGGAGGTGGCATGATCAACTTCCAACAACCATCATCTCTTTGTTTTGCTCCGTGCTCGGGGGACCCGCATGGCAGCGGGCCACAAAAGCACCTGGTCTGCCAGTTGACACCCCCTCTGCTGACAGTGTGACGCTACCGGGCGGATAGCACGCACGTTCCATGCGCGTCGCATGCCACCCCCCCCCGCCGCGCTCGAGGTGGAATAGCAAGTGCAGCCGGCGTCGAGTGCGTGGAAGCACAAAACCCGGCAGAGTGGCCCAGATGCTGTTGTAGCGCAGATGCAGCGCCTCCCCTGTGCGGCTTAGGTGACAGATGACGCAGGACAGGCCGGGTCTCTCGCCGCTCCTGCTCGTACCCCTTCCTCACCGCTGGCGGCTCATTGTGAAGAGGCGGCATGCTGTGCTATGCCATCACATCGTGTACTGAGCCTCCTCCTTGCCTATCTCCCGCCTCGGCCCTCTCATTGGCCTCCTCGCTGCGCAGCCCCTGCGTGGCACCCCCTCGTCCAAGCATCCTTGCAAGGCTGGATATGCTAGACGCCCTCAAGCTCTCACGCCCTCCCCTGGCCAGTGCCTACAATGATCGCCTTCCGCCGCCACGACCCACTCCCTCGTCGTGATACCAGATCAAGGAACGATGCATACCGGGTGGTATACCGGCAGTTTAAAGATGAGTGGCGTGGACAAAACATCCACCGAGACTCGCCTTTTCTCGGTCTCTTTCTCTCTCTTGGGTCCTGAATTCCCTTGCTGCTCGACGGTTTCTCGACCTGTGCTCGCTTCGCTACCTGCTACCTCGGCCCATCGCCCCACCCCCATCCCGCATGGCAGTCGCTCCGAGGTCTCAGCGCCGAACGAGACGACTATGGAGCCGGTCACAACACCGACGGGAACTCCGATTCGCAAGGCGTGTAACCGGTGCCATGGACAGAAGCTCAGCTGCAGGCGCATCGGGGACGAGCCCTGCGAGAGGTGCGTCCGCCTCAAGACCGAATGCAAGTCCAGCCCTTCGCTTCGGTATCGGAAGCAGCAGCAACAGCAGCAACGGCAGCAACAGCAGCAACAGCAGCAACAGCAGCAGCACCAGCCACAGGCGCAAACAAGACACAAGGCGCAACAGACACAGCATCATTATCTCGAATACCTTGGGAGGCAAGTACAGGAGGTTATGGTGGAAAGCGCGCACAGCGCAAGCACAGAGCAGTCGGGTATCTTGGCTAGCCTGGCCAGGCGAGCCAGCACAACTGGTAAGTCAGCTTTTCAACAAGACATCGCTTGTATACAACGCAACTTGGCACGGCTCTTCAAAGGGCCATGTCTTGGCTTCACTTGGGCGTGGGAATACTCACAACCGGTCTCGGCACAGTTACGTCTCCCGGCCTCATGCCTGAGGAATCCTGTATGACCATGGACGACATGAACCCACCCCACCTTGCCAGTATAGGCTCGGGCACGGTGGAAGGCAACACCACGCTGAGCATGGTAGGGTTTGGCTTCGGCATCGACACGAGGCTCGAACCCCTCTTTCCCTCAAGCAGCCCCCGCCAAGGCAACCACATGCACCCTTCAGCCTCCATCGAGCACATGGCCCGCGCCGTTAGCGAGTACTCCCCTCGCCAGGATTACGGATCCACGAGCATCAGCTATCCTTTCCATCAGCCGACAGACTGTCAACCCACCTTCCCAAATGCACTCAAACGTCACCACCAAACACAAGACCAGCGCCAAAATCAAAGTTCCCTCCAGCCCCAGGCAGTGTCCCCACCGGGGCCCCTTGAGGTTCTAGGCCACGCCGGACCGCTATCACCGCAGGGACGAGTCGTCCCAGCTCCTGTCAGCCCTAGGCATGTGGCCCATCACGGCGCATGGCTGGGCCTAATGTCCGACCTGAACAGAGAAACGTGGGAGCTCACCTTGCGGGTCCCACACCACACCCCCCTGGAGGGTAGCTTCGGCGTATCCAATTACACCTTTTACGAGGAACACAAGGCTGGCTCCGAGGAGCAGCGCCCCTTTCCGCTAGACCAGATGTTCGGCCTGTCGCGGAGACTACTAGAGGCTCTCAGGGTACCTGCGGCGGGCACGGGCCTTGGCACGTCACCAACATCTCACGGGGGCATCTCAGCTGGCGACTCCTCGCCACCCTCGCCACCCCCACCGGTTCCGACGGCATTTACTGGCGCTCCCTGGTGGCCGGGCGAGGTCGGCACAGGCCTATCCTCGGCCACGCATGCAGCCTCGGCAGATTCGGGATCGGTGCTTCTTGCGCTATCGACCTACGTGCGGCTGATTGATCTCTACCACCGAGTCTTTCAGCTGGTGGACGAAGAGATATCCTTATCCAGCCGTGGCGGCGGCCGCCTGGACGCTTTCAAGCTCTGTACGCTGCCGGATGTCTCCCTGGGCGGCATCTACCCCGTGGCGCCCTCCCCCGTCCTGCAGATGACGCTCACCGTCAGGGTGGCCGAGGAGTTCCTGGGCGGGCTGCGGGCGGAGATGGACGTGGTCACTTCAGACCGGATAGCGTCGTGCCCGGCGAGGGCCTGGACGCAGTCGCCCCCGTCCCGCAATCCAACCACAGGCGACGCCGGTGTTACTGCCAACCTGGGCGCCGCCTCCATCTCCTTCGCCGCTGTCGTCCAAAGCGCCATGTTCGAAGTAACGGTGCAAGAAGCGAGGATCCGCCAGGGTCTCGGAGCGATAAGAGCCAAGCTGGAGCGCAGCTGACCGAGATGGGGGCGAGTTTAATAAACAGCATCGGCAGCAGTGCTTGGCCGCGATGCAAAAGAGAGTGGCTTGTGCTGTCCACATCGTTCATAATTAGGTAATTTGGGGCGGCCAGTCAAGTACCATCACACAGCGTCGGGCCCATCACACCCGAATCTCACTTGCAAGAATAAACGAGGAAGCAAGCACGGGCCACAAGCTCGCCTCATAGAGGCCCATCTTCAAAACCTCCCGTGGTATCTGCCCGGGCTTTTGAATAGCACAGAAAAAGGGGGCCCGTTGATGATTGTGTTCACGGGCATGTTTCAAACTGAAAACACCCCTTGAACGCGACGTCGTCTGTACTGTCTTGGTGAGAAGGCGAACAACGTCACAGCGTCTGTAGTCGACCGAGAGCACATCACGGTAGATTACAGGTACAAAGACGGCCAAGCACAAAGGGCCGCTCAGAGGCGCATGTGGGGTTGTGTACGACGGGTTGGTCCGTCAGACCATGTCTCGAGAACAAAGAGGATCCGGCCCCGTGAAGCGCGCCCAAGCGAGCCCGTGTCTATTCCTTCCCCGGCCAGAGTCATTGTGTCCAAGAATGTGCCGTAGGGTGCGAGGGGGTGGGGGGGTCGTCGAGGTATGGATTTGATTTGTTGGCAGGATGCGCGGGAATTCCACCCCGGGGGAACCGGGGGAACCGGGTGGGCTTGATATCCGGGACCCCGAGCAAAAAGTGTATGAAAGGCCTAGGTTCCAGCTGGCTTGGTCTGGAAAGATGTGTGGGGGTATACCTGGCCGGGTAGCTAAGCACAACAAAACAGACCGCAAATGAAGAAACAAAGAAATAAAAGACATGGCCGCGGCATCCGATGATAGGTTAGTGCGGCTGTCCAATGGCCGCCCCGTTCCTGGCCGCCTTCTAGATGCGCTTATCAAACCACATGCTATGCACGCACACTTGCATATGGATAGGCACATTACATGCGCGCGCAGGCGACCATCCATCCTGCCTTGCATTGGGCGGACCCTGGCACAATCTGGCCGCACCCGTCCTGCTGGGTACGCCATGTGGTGCGGCATCGGAACTCCGATCCCGATTCCGCAGCCACGCTGCTGCTGGCTGCCCCTCTGGCCGCATTGTAAGAGAGGCTCAGGAAGGCTGCTATACCAAAAAAGAAACAGATGTGGGAGGGTGTGCAAAAGGACGGGTGAGCCAAGGGTGATTTTTTTCCCCTGACGCCTAATATCTCCAGTGCGCTCCAGGGATCGATAAAGTGCACACAATTCGGCCACGTGGTGTCGCACCGGCCCCGTACATGTGCTAGCACCCTTCCTGTTGCCCCTAACGCTCAGAGTCGTGGAATCGAGACTGTAATCCATTGCCTAGGCTAGCAGGCGTTGCGTGTGAAAGAAAAACAAGACGTGGACAAGCCCTTTGTATTAAGGGCAACAAGAGCCCCCCAGCAACGGGTCCAAGCCCGTGACAAAGCCCGAACCACGAGGCTGAGGGTGCGTCCTGACCCTCCACTGAGCAACCTCTTGTGGCAGGCAGTGACGCGTGCTGTTGGATGCCATCGAGTCTGACACGCCCACCCCTCCCGGGTATCTACTTATATCTGGTCCCCTCGTGCGCGTGGGGGAGGTGTGCGGCCAATGGGAGGGGGGGAGGGGAGCACAAGAGATTTCACTCCCCACCCCCTGACAAACGCAGGCCACCGCAGCGGCCACCGAGGGCGAGCTCGACAGCTCCCGGGGAGGGAAGGAGCGCTTAACCGCACACCCCCTGCAAAATTTGCTGCGTGTATCTTCTGCCGTGCCTACCTCCCTCGACAAAGGACCTGAACCTTCGCCGGACGCCTTTGTCCCCCATACTTGGTCACCCTCAAAATAGTTTGTGCGGGTGGCATACCTCTTGGGAAGATAAAACCTTGCCCTCATCCTCCTCGGTCTTTACTCCAGGTCTTCTTCTGCCTTAAGAACCACCTCGTCTTCTCCATAGGTTGGACTACCACTCACATCTTCCTCATCTTGATACCATCCACGAAATATCAAACCCCTCGTATCCTGCCTCGTCTCCTCGTATCCCGCCTCGTCTCCCGCCTCGTCTCCCAATGGCGCAAGATATCCCTTCAAACGAGCCGCTGGCCGTGGTTGGCAGCAGTTGCCGGTTCGCCGGCGGCGTCGACTCGCCCTCGAAGCTCTGGGACCTCCTGGAGAAGCCAAGAGATCTGTCGAAACGCGTCCCTGCGGATCGCTTCAACGTCGAGGGCTTCTACCACCCCAACGGCGAGTACCACGGCACCACAGACGCCACCAAGGGATACTGGCTGGAAGGAAACCACCGCGTCTTTGACACATCCTTCTTCTCCATCACACCCAAAGAGGCCGAGACCATCGACCCTCAGCAGCGTCTGCTCCTCGAGGTCGTCTACGAGTCTCTGGAGTCGGCAGGCTACGACCTGAAGCAGTACGCGGGCAAGAAGGTCGCTGTATTTGCCGGCATCATGACGGCGGATTTTGACACCCTCTGCCAGCGCGACGACCTCCTGGGCTCGCAGTACCTGGCGACCGGCAACGCGCGTTCCATAATCTCAAATCGTATCAGCTACTTTTACGATTTCCACGGCCCGTCCATGACCATCGACACGGCATGCTCGGCCTCACTGGTGGCGCTACACCAAGCAGTCCTCAGCCTCCGCAGCGGAGAGAGCACCATGGCCTGCGTGGCAGGCGCCAACATGATGCTGGCGCCCGAGCAGTTCATCACCGAGTCCAGCCTGCACATGCTGAGCCCATCGGGCAGGTGTCGCATGTGGGACGCCGGCGCGGACGGCTACGCCCGCGGCGAGGGCGCGGCCTGCCTGCTCCTCAAGCCGCTGAGCCGCGCGCTGGCCGACGGCGACGCCATCCAGGCCATCGTGCGCGAGACGGGCGTCAACTCGGACGGCCGCACCAAGGGCATCACGATGCCGAACCCGGTTGCACAGTCGGCCCTGATCAGGGACACGTACTCCCGCGCGGGTCTCGACCCGAGGCGCGAGGCCGACCGCTGTCAGTACTTTGAAGCTCACGGCACAGGAACACACGCGGGTGATCCGCGTGAGGCTGCTGCCATTGCCGACGCCTTCTTTGGAGACGGAGACACATACGCGGAAGGGGTGGTGCCGCCGAATCAAGAGGCCCAGAGGAAGCTCCTAGTGGGCTCGGTCAAGACCGTCATCGGCCACACAGAGGGCGCTGCCGGCCTGGCTGGAGTGCTCAAAGTCATCCAGGCAATGAAGCACAAGACGGTTCCCCCGAATCTCCACTTGGAGACACTCAACCCCAGCGTTGAGCCGTTCTACACCAACCTCGAGATCCCAGTCTCTGCTACCCCGTGGCCGGCGGTCGAGAACAACCAGCCACTCAGGGCGAGCGTCAACTCCTTTGGCTTTGGAGGCACCAACTCGCACGCCATTCTTGAGCGATACACACCCGACATCCACTGCCCTATTGGCATCTCCTTCGGTCAGACTGGACGGAACTCTATCCCTCCCACCATCGCACAGGAGCTACAGCAATCCGAGGTCCCGCTGCCTCTAGTGCTATCGGCAAACTCGCAGCATTCTCTGTACTTGATGGTGGAAAAGTACCGAGACTTTCTCGTCGGCAAGGCTGATGTTTTCGCATCTCCCAAGCCCTTCTCGCAGCTGCTCTACCACCTCTATGCCAAGCAGAATCCTTTCCCCTTCAGGCTGGCTGTCACGGCCAGGACCGCCACGGAGACCATCGAGAAGCTCAACCAGCTACTTCTAGGTGCACCGGCCTCGAAGCATCCCCAGCTCGGCTCGAGGACAGCTACTCAACAGCTAGAGCCCAACAAGCTCAGGATCCTGGGAGTATTTACCGGACAGGGAGCACAGTGGGCCACAATGTCAAGGGACCTATTCTTGAACTGCGAGGGATACAGGCGTTCCATCTCGGAGCTGGACGCTGTGCTCCGTTCGTGCCCAGACCGTCCGAACTGGACTCTCGAACAGGAGATCCTTGCGGACCCGTCGGTCTCCCGAATCGGTGCTGCCGCCATCTCGCAGCCCCTCTGCACTGCCCTCCAGGTCGCCATGGTTGACCTGCTCACAACCCTCGGGGTGACATTCCACTCCGTCGTAGGTCACTCTTCCGGCGAGATTGGAGCGGCGTACGCGGCGGGTTACGTCACCGCAAAGCAGGCCATCCTGATCGCCTACTATCGAGGGAAGTTCGCCAGCCTAGCTCGCCCCAAAGTTGCAGTCAGCGTGAGAGACGACGAGACGGCACCTAAGCAGGCTGGCGGCATGATCGCTGTCGGCCTGTCGAGAGTGGAGGCGGAGGAGCTGTGCAGCCAACAAAAGTACGTGGGACGCGTTGTGCTTGCCGCGAGCAATTCGCCAACCAGCGCCACGCTCTCGGGAGACTTTGACGGAGTCATCGAGATCCAGAAGGAGCTGGAGGCGCAGGGAAAGTTTGCTCGCATCCTCGCCATCGATACGGCATATCACTCGCAGCATATGCAGCTGCCTGCCGCCAGGTACGGGCCTGCCCTGGAAGCGTGCGGTGTCGCGCATATGCCCAAGATCACAGACAGCAAGACTCGGTGGTTCTCGTCCGTCCATGGAGGGTCCGAGGCATTCAGTGCCGCACAGATCGAGCCGACGTACTGGGTGGAGAACATGACAGCGCCTGTCCTCTTCCGCGAGGCGCTGGAGAAGGCTGTTGATGAGGCTGCGAGTTTCGACCTCGCCATTGAGGTTGGCCCGCATCCTCAGCTCAAGGGACCCGCGATCCAAACAATCGAGGCTCTCGGAGGAACTAAGCTTCCTTTCACTTACTTGGGCGTCCTCGACCGCAAGAAGGGAGATCTTGCAGCCTTCTCCGACTTTCTCGGCTCTCTCTGGACCAATTTTGGGCCTTCTGCCACTGCTGTCGGCGCAGCAATAACTAGCTCGGAATCTGGAGGTGTCGAGCCTGATGAGCTGCCCACTTACCCGTGGGACCACTCCCAGGTTCACTACCGAGAGTCCAGGATATCTCACCAATACAGCAACCGGACTCACGCACCGCACGAGCTTCTTGGCGTCCGCACCAGAGACGATAGCGAGCTCGAGATGAGGTGGAGAAACATCCTGAAGCTCGAGACGATCCCGTGGATCGAGCATCACAAGTTCCAGGGACAGGCACTCCTCCCTGCTTCGGCATACTGCGTCATGGCGCTCGACGCCGCTCGGGTGTTCCTCAACGGCAAGTCCGCTACTGTGATCGAGCTGCAGGATGTTGAGTTTGTGAACGGCATTACTATCGAGCCCGGAACATACGGGGTCGAGGTGCTGTTCACGCTGAGCGTCTCCCCGCCTCCGAAGGACTCGCGCTCTCGCAGTCCCCAGGAGATCCACGCAACGTTCACGGTCTCCTCGGCCTACGCAGACGGAACCACGCCAATGCGCCCGAACTTCTCCGGCCACATGCGCATAGAGCTCGGAACGCCATCCGCGGATGTGCTGCCGCCCAGGCCATCTCTGCACCCCGAGACGATGGCCGTCAGCACGGACGGCTTCTACAAGATGATGGAGGGGCTCGATCTTGGTTACACGGGACCTTTCCGAGGGATTGAGACCATCCAGCGGCGTTTCAACTTTGCGTCCACCACGCTGCCCAAGACCCACCCCGAGGACACGACCACGCTCAAGGTCAGCCCGGCGATGCTGGACACGTGCTTCCAGGCGTGCTTCTCAGCCTTCTCGTCGCCTGGTGATCGGGCGCTGTGGACGCCATTCCTGCCGCGGAGCATCTCCAAGGTCCGATTCAACATGGCCGTGTGCGACAGAAACGACGACGAGCCGGACCAGAAAACCACGGTGGATGCGCTCCTGACAGATTTCCGACCCATCTCCAAGCAGGGAGCCGCGACCATCACGGGCGACATGTCCATCTACAACAGCAGGGGCCAGATGGAGGTCCAGATAGAGAGCATGGTGGTCGCCTCGTTCGCCGCGACCAAGCCCGAAGACGACTACGAGCTGTACCTCCACACCGTCATGCAAGCCGATCCCGAGGACGAAATTGCCGGCCTCATGGCCTTTGACAATGACAGGGCCGAGGAGGAGCAGCGGGTGCTCGAGGAGTGCTTTGAGCGCGTCAAGTCGTTCTACAAAACCAACCGCGCGCCGCACCCGATGAGGAGGGACTCTGTGTTTAGCAACCGCAGCAACGCCTCGACCATCGCGTCCTTCGAGCCCCCTCCCTTCGTCGTCGAGGGCCGCGCTACTAGCGCCTGGCCGCACGAGACGCACCAGTCGCTCCGCCAGTTCATCGAGTCGTCGCGGTACCCGGCCGCCCTGGAGCTGCTTAGCTCGCTGGCGGCGAACCTAAGCTCGTCCATCCTGGACGTAATGGTGCCGAACGTCACGATGGAGGCGCTGACGCTACTGCGCTTCCAGAAGCACCTCGAGACTGTGACGTGCCAGATCGCCCACCGCTACCCGCGCATGAATATTCTCGGAGTCACCGATCCGGACTTGTTCCTTGTGGAGCACGTCCTCGCTGGTCTGGGCTCGTCTTTCCTCAGCTTCACCACGGTCGGCGCCGATGAGCGCTTCGACCGCCGCGTCCTCGACAGGCTGCCGCAGAACGTACGGGATAAGGTTGTTACGGACAACCATCTCCTTAGCGACAAGGCCAAGAGCGATGATAACGGCACGGCCTACGACATGGTCGTCCTGCCCACTTCCGTCATGGAGCCAGGCCAGGCGGCAGCAGTGCTCAAGGTGATCCGGCATCTGATGAAGCCCGGCGGATTCCTGGTCTTGATTCACGCCTCGACAAACCCCCTCAAGGATAATATCCGGCGGTGCGCAGGTTCTTTGGCGGGATCTCCCAGCGTCAGCAACGGAGCTCTCACGCCGCCCGACTGGCCCGACGCGCTCGAGGATTGCGGTTTCGTCAGGGGTCCGGCAAATGCGGACCAGCACTTCCCACCAGGCTACACCCTCATCGTCAGGCAGGCGGAGAGTGCCGAAAAGGAGATGCTGCGCCTTCCCTTTGGCCCAGCCGGCCCAGGACCCGCAGGAACAATGGAGGGCGACGCTCCTTCCCGCAAGGCCGTCTTCGGCACCCTCACGTCGCAACTCCTCATTGTGGGTGGCGGCTCGCGTCAGACGTCGGACCTGACCGAGGAGATTGTGGACATGATTGAAGCGTCCTGCAGTAATGATGTATGTGTCGCGCGCGCGTTCGAGGACATCGACCCGGCCGACATTTCCAGCTGCACCGCCGCCATCGTCCTCGCTGACCTGGACTCGCCTGTGCTCTCCCGCATGACCGAGGAGCGCCTGGAGACGCTCAAGGCTCTCATGAGGCCCGACATGCGCATCCTGTGGGTCACAAATATCGATGGCGAAACCGGCACCGAGCAGTCGGCGTCCTTTGGCTTCGCCCGCACCCTGATCGCCGAGATGCCGAGCCTGGCTCTGCAGATGCTCGACCTGGACACGCTCGGCGGAGCCGCCAAGACGATTGTCGAGAGCTTCGCTCGCCTCTGTCAGCAGGCTTCGGTGTCGTCCAACAGCAGCAGCCCGGATAGCCGCGATCCCGACAGCATCCTCTACTCGTACGAGCACGAGATCCACATCAAGAAGGGGCGGCGCATAGTCCCCCGCGTGCTGCCGTACCAGCCTGCCATCGACCGAGTCAATTCGGCACGCAGGATTATCACGACGCCGGTCAACACCACCGCGAAGAGCGTCGAGATCGTCCCTGTGCAGTTCTCCGACGGTGCGATGCATTACGAGGCCCGCCACGTCAACTTCAGTATCTCCGACGTCCCTCCCGGCGAGACCCCGGTCCAGGTGCTATACAGCGCTCTCAACCCGATCAGCGGGAGCGAACACTTTCAGTACCTGTGTGTCGGAAAGATGCTCGATCCTCAAGAGGAAGGCCGCTCCGTGGTCATGTTTTCAAAGATGAACGCTTCGCTGATCCATGTGAAGAGAGAGAGCATATACGACGCGCCCCATGTCGAGGGGGTGCTGAACTCTTCACTGTTCGCAACGTGCCTTCTCCAAGCGCTGAGAGCCCAGATCCTCTGTCACGCTGCGCGCCTCCCGATGGTGCTTGTCAATGCCGAGTCAGCCTTGCTGGAGTCGATGAAAGCGACATTGAGCACGCTTTGGCCGCAGATGGTGATTGCCGTCACTTCCAATAAAGAGGTGGCGGATGCGAACAGCGATTACATCTACATCCATCCGCGCTCATCTCCGCAAGCAATCAAGAGCGCCCTACCAACCTCCAGAGCCTACATCGTAGACTACTCGGCGGACAACGACGGCTATGCTCAACTGATCTGCGACTGCCTCCCCAACGGATCACAGTATATCCGCTTTGGAGACAACTGTTTCAGCCCCAAGGATATACTCCCCGGAGAGGCAGCCGAACTCACGAACGCGGCCATCGACGTCGCCGCCGAACTAATGTTCACCGTGGGGGCCCGGGATACGAACCTCCCCACCGTCAGCGTTCCGCACCTGCTCCAGCGCTCGAGCCTTGCTCCATTCTCGCCCGACGTCATAGTGGACTGGCGCGCCGAGAGGACCGTGGCCGTATCGCCAACCGACCAGCGTCAGCCGCAGAGCCTCGCTCGCTCCGCCTCCTACGCCGAGAAGCCCACGCTCCTGCGCCACGACCGCACCTACGTCCTCATCGGCATCACTCGCGACCTCGGCCAGAGCCTCTGCCAGCTTTTCGTCAACAACGGCGCTCGCCACATCGTCCTCGCAAGCCGCAGCCCGCCCCCCGCCAGCAGCCTCTCATGGGTCAGCGCGCTAGCCGGACGGGGCGTCACCGTCCAAGTCGAGACCCTGGACGTGACGGACTTGGACTCGGTCCGCCGGTTCGCCCGCCGCCTCCCATCCGCGCCGCTCTGCCTCCCCCCTGTCGCGGGCGTCGTCAACGGCGCCATGGTGCTCGAGGACCGCGTCTTTGCCCAAATGACGCTCGAGACGCTCAACCGCGTCATGCGGCCCAAGACCATCGGCTCGCAGAACCTCGACGCCGTCTTCGGGCCCTCGGCCGACCTCGACTTCTTCATCATGACGTCGTCGTTCGCGGCCGTGGGCGGGCACGCGGGCCAGGCCAACTACGCGGCGGCCAACATGTTCATGAACGGGCTGGCGGCCGACCGGCGCCGGCGGGGCCTCGCGGCCTCGGTGCTCAACATCGGGGTCATCTACGGCCTCGGGTTCCTGCACCGCGAGCGCGAGGGCCTGTACGCCGGCCTCGAGCGCGAGGGGTACCCGCCCATCTCGGAGCGGGACCTCCACCACATGTTCGTCGAGGCCGTGGTGGCGGGCCGCCCCGGCGCCGACGGGCCCGAGGCCCTGACGACCGGCCTCAGCCGGTACCGGGTCGGCGACCCGAACCAGCTGCACTGGCACCGGGACCCCCGGTTCTGCCACTTCACCACCACTGCCGGTGGCGAGGCGGCCGCCGGCCCGGGCCAGTCAGCTGGCGACGGCAGCCCCCGCCAGCGCGTCGAGCAGGCGCGCGGCGCCGATGAGGTGCGGGCCGTGGTGCTGGCCGAGCTGGTGGCGCGGCTCGAGGCGGTGCTGCGGCTGCCGGCCGGGTCGGTCGCGGCCCAGGACGACAGCGTGTCGGGCCTGGGCATCGACTCGCTCATGGCGGTGGAGCTGCGGGCGTGGCTGCACCGGGCCACGGGGCGGGACGTGCCCGTCATGAAGATCCTGTCGGCACCCAGCATCGCCCGGCTGGCCGACGACATCGCCGGGCTGGTGCTGGCCGACCGCGAGGTGTGAGGGGGCTTGGGCTGGGGTTTGGGTTTGGGTTTGGCTGCTTTTTTTTCGAACAAGATGAGACGGGACCTTTTTTTCTGTTTGTTTGTTTGCCTTGTCTTTTGCTTTGGGCTTTTTTGTTGTTGTACCAGTTGCCGCCTTGTTTGGAATTCTTTGGTTTGTAGTAATAACACTCATGTTTAACTAACAACGACTGTGCAGTTTCGTGACTCCAGCACCTCTCAAGCCACAAGTGCAAGTATTTATACGCCCACCCAACCTGTATCTGTCCTATCCAGCTTTACGAACTTTGCATTACCGCAACCAACAAATATAAATAAACAACCCAGCAAAATAAAAAAACTGCCCAAATAGACTCCAGTCAGACAGACGACTAGTCACGCCTGCCAGGCTGCGTACATCATCCCTCTCGTCCCATGTCCGGTGTACAGCCTGCGTGCTACCCCCGCCTTCTTAGCCCGCGTGATAACGACCTCACCAGAGCCGAGGCGACACAGCCTGGATGGAGTGGACAGAAGCGTCAAGCCGACTCTCTTAATCTAACACCTCCCTACTACTACTGCCACAAAAACCGTCGCGGATACATTTGGCCGCCGCCGGGGGTGGCGCTGTGCTCGGTGCCAGTGACGAATCCCCCGGCCAAAGTGAAGAACATGTAAGTCCTCCCTCCCCTCTCTCTTTTTCCTGTTACCATCGCACATTTTCCACTCCATGCGCCACTCATCTTGTCGAGATGGCCAGCTAATGGCGAACGAAGGCTCTTTCGCCCAAGCCGTTGGCGTGGAACCCCCCGATCCGCGCTTACCAGCAAGGGACGCCGATCGACGACGACAGCCACCTTACGCTCGTGTCTCCATTCACGCGGTAGGCATTCGGGCAGGCAGGCGCTGGCCGCCCCAAGGTAAGCGCTCCCTCCCTTTCCCTCCCAACCGTTCGCCTAATAGTGACCTCGGCCACTGTCTTCCAGCCACGATCGGCCCGGGGAGGTGTGCAACACGTTACCCACACTGCCTCGTCATATCGAATGCGCAGCCGGACAGCCAAGACAATTGATATTTATCCCCTCGTCCTATTTATTTGATTACTCTTCTGCTCATAATTCCATCCATCCTATTATAGTATTGCACAAGAAAACGCGATTCGACCTTGGGGCGGATGGCTGCACGCTTGGGCGCCCACAGCTCGTGATGCGGTCAATGCCAAGGAGGAAACCGCGGTCGGGCACAAAAACGTGCCGGCATTTTCTCCTACGAGACAGAGCAAAATGTGCCATTCAGAATAAAGCCTACTATTATTCCCTTTTATCCTCTCGCAATAGTATATGACTGGGGCACTTCTAGAGTGTGACAAGGGCTTCATCACGCCCGCGGCTGCGGGCGGCCTTGGCTGCCTGGAACGCACACCCTCCAGAGGTGAAGCTGTAGAAACGTGGGCGAATGGACAGGTAGGCTGCGGAAGTGTGGCGGCGGATCATTGGCCTGGCGGGAGCAGCAGCTGAGATACTTGCGAGGGGCACACCCAGCTCTCTTCTCTTCCAGTTTTCCTTTCCCCCAACTCTACTCTCCCCATGGATCATTTGGAACTGAACGCTCATACCTTGTCGATCATGACAGACCCAGTCTGTTGCCATTGACAAGCTCCAATGCCTGGCGATAATATCCACCTGCTCGCCCTCGATGGCGGTGGCGTGCGCAGCCTGTCGTGCCTTATGATCCTCCGCCGACTGATGGCCACCGTCGACCTAACTCACCACCAAAACCCTGCGACTACTTAGACATGATCGGCGGCACCAGCACTGGCGGCCTCATCGCCGTCATGCTCGGCCGTCTACGAATGACTGTGGACGAGTGTATCGAAGCATACACGTCTCTCTCGGGACAAGGTTTTCGAAAAGAAGAGTCACCGAGTCACATTTGTGAACTTGAGAGATTCATGGGCGAGACCTCATGATTGGCTTGGAGTGTCGCTGCCCAAGGCGTGCAAGCAACCAACTGCATCGTAACTAACGGTGCCGGACAACGTGAGCCGCGTTTGACAGCCCAGTCGCTCAGCGTTCGTGCGAAAACGACTACTTATTTAAGTATCGGAACGCCTCCCTGCTCAGCTGCGCCAGCGGCTGCAAGATGAGCCCCTCACTGGTCGTACAATTGCGAGTGTTTATTTCCTTCTGGTGGTATGAGTCTGGAATCTAGGGCTCGCGTGCGCCTGCGTCCATTGCGTTTTGGGTTTAAGGACAAAATGAGACCTTCTCATCTGCATGCGAATGAGGTTTCCCAGTCCTTTGTCTGCTAGAACATAGAGCGGGGTTGCATCCGAGCCATACCGGAGGTGATTTCCAACCTTCGATTCCTTTTACCCCTTCGCCGGGGCCGGAGGCAGAACCGTAACGCAGTCCTTCAAAAAAACCTCGTTATCCAAGCTCCCAAACTCGGGAGGCGCCCTCAGCTCGACCCCCACGTCCTTGAGATACTGGACCACCTCGTACGCCCCATGAACCACCGCCGCCATGGCAGGCAGCAAGATGGGCCCGTACCGCGCCACATCCGTAGCGTCTAACGGCTGATACCCGTTGAGGTTCTTCATGACGAACCGGCAGTCCGGGCCGGACAGGTGCGGCAGCGGCGGCACGCTGTCCGACCACCTCGGGCCGAACCTGCCCGGCGACGGGATCCCACTCCCCGTCTTCTCGACCATGAGATGCTCCAGCATGACTACGGCGGCGGCCACGTTGACGTCCGCAGGGAAGTGCGGCTGGATGTTGTTGGCAATGTGGTCGCGGCAGCGCGCGACGGCGGACCGGAAGACAACCCCGTTAGAGCGGAACGCGGGCCGCTCGGGCTCCGACCCGGCCGGGCAGGTATATACCGCCAGTGGGGCCTGGGACTGCACGCTCACGTCCATCAGGCCGACGGCCGCGATCCACCCGCCGCGGGAGATGTCCGCCTCGCTGACGGTGGGGAACGCCAGGCGGACGGTGCCCGCGCGGGTAGTGAACGTCTCGCGGTACCACGGCGGGTAGCCGTCGAGCAGGCGCTCGAGCTCGGATTTGGTCAGGCGGCTGCGCCGTTCTTGGAACTGGCCTTGGATGCGGCAGAAGGTAAGAGGGCCGAGACGCTCGCGGGATACGCGCGTAGTGCCGAAGCTTAGGTGGCGCGGGCTCCAGGAGGACGATTTGTTCTCGGCCACGGTGCAGACGATGAAGGCGAGGACCGTCCGTACGTCGGTGCAGATGTAGGTCCCGGAGAAGGGGAGCTGGATGGGGACGTCGTCGAGGTAGCGCGGGTCGCGCTCCGACAGCCGCCAAGCGCGGTTCAGGATAGTGGCGAGCGAGGAGGGAGACTCCCAGCACTTGAGGGCCTTTTCGTGGTGCCGGGAGTGGTGGCAGGGCCAGTACTGGGCGGGCGCGCTGCCCGTTTGGCAGTCATGGACCCTGCCGTTGGGCATCCCGGCCCAGCTCAGCATGATGACACGCCGGTGGGTATTGCGGATGCTTTTGACTTTGTCCGAGGACGCTGTGTAGAGCAGCTTGGCGCCGAATATGCCGAGGGTCAGGAGGACCGCTCCCATTGCCCAGTCGGGAGCTCCGGTAGACATTGTGGAGGGGTGTGTCCAGTTGCTGGGAGTGATGGAGTGATGATGGAGGGTCAGAGCCTGGCCAAGCTTTGTCTCCAGAGAACGAGCAAGGGGATGGCACAGGACACACCCAATCAACGACAAGAGGCGTTCAAGCCCGAGGCCGCGTTGCTCAGCCACTACGCGATGGTTTTCAGGGCTGTGCCCCACCCAAGTCAGCCCGACCGAAGACAGCCTGACCAATGTCAGATGAAGTCCCGCGCTCTTTTACCGCATAGGTACTTGCTTAGATCCTCCTCAGCAGCTGGTTTGAACTCATTCCAGACCAGAAACATCGGTTATGTCCGCTCCCTACTCCCCCGGCCAACCGAAATTCGCCACAAACCCAGGAACCGCCATATTCTCCCTGGTTCCAGTCCTCTGGCGGCCGAGAGGAGGCCATTCAGCCGGAGTTTGCTCGGTTGACCCCATGGTCTGTCATTTCAAGATTGATGTCTTGCGGCACGGCCGCTAACCTTGATGGATTACAGGACGTCCAGCAGGATCTCAAGCAGGCGATTTATGATGACGACTTGGCAAGCATTAAGTGGTGCTTGGAGCAGGGAGCCAACGTCAACGAGCGCATCGATGGGCAGCTGCCCGCGGCCATCGCCATCTCGGACGGCAACCAAGAACTCGCCATCTTTCTCCTCCGACATGGAACCGATCTGTCCTTGCCACCTCCCCCGCCTCCTCCCCCACCCCCTTCCGATCAGCTCTCCCTCTCTGAGATAGAACGCAATATGGGGCGCAGAAGGCAGCTCTTCCGGGCAGGATTGCGCCTCGTCAAAGCCGTCTGTTCAAGGCTCTGCGTCGGCTTCGCCCTGTCATGGACCACTGCGGGGCTCAACAGATGGCGACTTCTTCCTGAACCGGTCACTCAACACCTCAATGTCATTCTCAACCCTTACACACCGCTAGGTGTGGAAATTCTTGCCGCTATCAACTCGATGGTTCCCTGGTCGGGTTTGAGCCTCAGCCTGGGAATGGTCCCTGAGCTCCTCGTTACCTACTCGCTGTCGCACGTCCTCCGTGGCCGGCCCCGCAGCGTCGCGAATACTTTGCTGTCGTGGAGTTGGTCGGGGATATTCGGCCGCGTGATGCTAGGGGCAGTGGTCGGGGCCATGTCCGGGGCCATGTCCGGGTCCAGGGCGCGCAGGGCGCGAGCCAGACAGTCGCCCGGGGCACTTCAGAGCGAGTTCGGGGGGCTCGAGATCTCGGAGTGCATTCTTCGTTCGAAGTTTGGGCGAGAGTCGCTTGTTCTAACCTTGTTAGAGCTCGGACTTCTTTCTCCAGACTACGTCGAGAAAGCAGTCGCCTCCCAGACCAAGACGGTGGTCACCAAGCTATGGGCCATGTGTGCCGAGTCGGGATACGGTACCGGCATCCGGGCGTTACTAGAACTGGGGGTCCCGGTGGACCTGAGCCTCGAATACCCGATGCTCGCTGTGCCTGACCACGGAAGTTTTAAGGACACCGCCCTGGCCAGAGCAGCCTGGAACCATAACTTGTCAGTTGTTCGGCTTCTCTTGGACCGAGAAGCGGACCCGAATGTCAAGACGAGGTCCGGTACACCGCTCATCGTTGCTGTAAAATCACGCAACCAGCCAGACGAGATCCAGGACTTGGTTCAACTGCTCGTCGAGAACGGCGCAAATGTCAACGCGGTGGACGAGGAGGGCGGCAGTGCCCTTAGGCATGCCGCAGAATGGTCGACACTCGACATATTGCCGCTATTGCTGCGGCAGGGCGCGGACGCTGGAATTGTTGACCGGGATGGCCGCACATTCGTCCATTACTTGTGCTCGAGGACGGAAGGGGAGCAGTGTCTGGACGCCCTGGTCGAATACCTACCTCCAGGCTTATTGGATCTTCCCGATAACAATGGATACACACCCTTTCTCCGCGCCGTCTCATGCGACCAGGTTCCCATGGCAAAGAAGCTGCTGATGCACAACGTAAATGCATTAGCGGTCACCCGCGATGGGCAGAATGCCTTGCAGCTTGCCGCCCGCTACGGCCCTCTCGGCCTGATCGAACTGCTCCTGAAGACAGCCGTTAAAGTTAACATGGCCAACGGAGAAGATGGAACAGCTCTGACAACGGCATGTCACCGGAGGTATTGCCGTGCCCCTGTCCTATCCTTGCTGCTCGAGGCCGGGGTCAATCCCAACATATCGTCGCCAGAAGGCCGGCCCATTCACATCGTCTGTAACTGGACATCGACCCAGGGCAGCTCGAGCTATGACTATTCGGATCAGTTAGAATCGATCCGGCTGTTAGTGAATCACGGCGCAGACGTGAATTCCACCTCACGCACGGGACGCTCTCTCTATCCCAACATCGGACAATTTGCTATCACGCCCATCGGGTCAGTTGCGGCTCATGGTCCCAGATCTATCCACAACGAGGCCATCAAGCTGCTGCTGGGGGCAGGCGCCGATCCAAACGGACTGGACGACGAAGGCAGGCCGGCGCTTCTGGCTCTCTGCTCTCGCGGAGGGTCGATCGAGAGTTCAAAGAGCGATATAGACCGTGACCGCGATGCCATCGAGCAGCTTCTCCAGCACGGGGCCAAGGTCACCGACAAGGACGCCCGAGGGATGACCTGCTTCCACCACGCGGCCAAGGCGAACAACTTCATAGCCCTCGCCATCTGCCTCTCGCATTCCCCGCCTCGATCCCGCCCGCTCGACGAACCCGACGACCAAGGCCGCACGCCACTCCTCATCGCGTGCGCCGACACCGCCTGGATGACCCAATCCGAGTACCAGACCTGGTCCTCGCACCAGCGCTCCGGCAACTACTCCTACGGGAAGTGGCACTGCTCTCTCGAATCAGGCCTGACCCTCCGCGCCCTCCAGGCCGGCGACGCGGACCCCTACCACGACGACGCCCACCACGCCACGGCGCTGCACCTCGCCGCCAAGGCGGGCAACCCGCGCGTGACGGCCACCCTCCTCCTCTGGACGGGGTCCGCCCTCCTCTACGACTTCCCCGACCTGCGCGGCCGCCTGCCCTTCCACTACGCCGCCCGCTCCGTCGAGGTCACCCGCCTGCTGCTCGGCTACCACTTGCAGGGCACGGTCGCCCACGGGGGGTACTTTGACGTGGTCGAGTTCGGCGAGGACGCCTTCGCCACCTCGCTCTCGCGCGTCATGGGGCAGGCGGTCGAGGCGATCGGCGCGCGCCGCGCCGAGAGGCGGTACCGCGCCGAACACCCCGATGCCACCGCCTTGGACGACGGCCCGGGGACGTTCCCCAAGCCGTGGCGCGCCGGGATGGTCCACTCGCCGGACCACCTCGGGAACACGCCGCTGCACTACGCCGCGCTGGCGGGGTGTGAGGGGGTGGTGAGGCTGTACCTGGCGATGGTTCCGGGGGTGGTGGACGACGTGTTGCGCGCGAATGAGGATGGGGAGACGGCGCTGGACTACGCGTACGCGGCGGGGGGTGATGGGTGCGTGAGGGCGATTTTGGAGAAGGTGCCCGGGTTGTGGCGTGGGCGGGGGAGGGGGGGTGACCGTGGTGGTGGTACTGCGAGTGACGCGAAGGAGGAGAAGCAGATGACAGCGTGCCGGGAGGCGGCGAGGGATTTTGTGGAGAGGTTGGGCAAGTCGTATCTGTGGGGAGTTTACGACTCGGAGAGCAAGCTGACGTCTGGGAGTTAGGTACCTCTGAAGTCTCACTTCAGCGTAAGAAATCTGGGTGGTTGTGTGGTGTTGTGGGTTGTCAGGACTAGACGAAGAACAGCTCATCGCTGACGCCCGCTTCCCGCGCAACCTCGAGACCCCTCATTAGGACAATTTCTTTGCGGGAGCGAGTGGCCCGGCTCTAGGACTGTCCGGTCGTTCCCTGCCCCTGAGCTCGGGCATGTATTCCCCGGCCCGTCTCGCCAACCGACAGGGTGCCCTAAAGGCCGTGATAGAAATAAAGACCTGTCTTACAGATTTATTCGGGCCGCCGCAGATGAGGGTGTGTTCCCGGCCTGGCTGTGTGATCTGGCGTCCAACAGAGCCAGATTCCCGGACGCAGCTCGAGTTCTGCTCCGCTACCCGATGACCGACTCGATGACCGAGGCCCAGGAGCCCGCGCAAGAAAGCTACATGGTACATCCCGTTGTGCATCGGTGGGCGGGGCATGCACAAAGTGATTGCGACAAGAGGGCTCTCTGGCGTCTGGCGATGGTCATGGTCGGATGGCTGATGTCCTCCCCGAAGGAGAGGGAGTATTGGGACTGGCAGCGGTGGCTCTTCCCGCATGCCGAGAGGTGTTTTTGGTGGATGGGGAAGATGGACATTTTCGGCGGTGGTGGGCAGAGATCGCACGATGTGCAATTGACCATTTCAATGCACAACCTGGGCGACATGTACTGCTATCGGGGCCGGGTTAACGAGAGCCGGCTTCTGTACGAGCGCGCGTTGCCAACCGCCCAGCAGGCCTACGGGCCGGATAGCATCCAGACGCTGGGCCTTCTCCAGAGGCTCGCCAACATTCATCGGGCAAAGGGCCAGTTTGCCGAAGCCGAAGACGTGTGCGTACGTACGCTGCGGTGCAGCGAGAGGGCGCTCGGGCCGGTGCACAAGACGACTCAGCCTCGTCAGAGACCTTGGCTTTCTTTACCTGCATCAAGACCGGTTCGACGAAGCCGAGCCCCTGCTTGGGCGCGCGTTGCAGTGCGCGGAGGGGACGCTAGGGCAAGGCGACATCGAGACGCTCGAGCCTGACGGGTGCCTGGCTATGTTTCTTCGGCGCAAGCGCCGGTTCGCTGAGGCGGAATTCATGCTTGAGCGCCAGTTGCGAGGCTACAAGGATTTACACGGAAGTGAGCAGCCGTCAACCTTGGGCGTTATTGCTGACCTGGCCGGGCTCTACGCCCAGAAAGGCGACCTTTCAAGAGCCGAGGCCATGTACCAACGTGCGCTGGAGGGTTTTGGAAAAACCCATGGTTTGTCTAGTTTGCGGGCTCTCATTGTCGCTACTAACCTAGCCAATATCTATTTCCTCAAAGGCGACATTTCAGGATCCGACGCCATGTACCAGCGTGCGCTGCAAGGCTTTCGACACACGCTCGGTTCGTCCCACACAACGTATCAAAAGGTCCTTCAAACAGCACAATATGTGAAAGCGGTTCGCGAAAGCCAGGCAGGCGCGATGCCGTTTCTCGATCAGAACCCAGGTCAGACAATATAAACAGAGGATGGGTAGCTACAATGTGGCTTCTTTCTCTCCTTCCTTTCCGCAAACTGAAAGGGGCTCGTGTTACGGGGGGTTGGTTGTAAGCCCTCTTCGAGAAACGGAACGATGTGATATAATCTATTTTAAAGCTGAGGTAGTAGACATTCACCCATTTTGGAAACTCACGATGGTGTCAAGCAAGCCGAAGACCATTGAAAGCATCGCGAAAGTCATCTGCCATGGTTTACATTGAACTACTCGTCATGTGTTGGCGGAGAACTCGGCGTCGACACGCTTGTCAAGACCCGCAGGTCGGTTCAGAGGGCACATTCCTCATAACCACAAAATCGCTCGATTGAATTAATTACCTAAGTCGCGCTCGAAAGAGGACTGCTGACCTTCCTGTACTTGCTGTTCGACGGCGCCACGCCCTTGGGCCACTCCCCGACGGGCTTATCCTGGTCAAAGAACCAGCTGATGGCCATCTCGGGGCTCAGCTCGCCAGATCCGAAGCGCCTGATCTTGAAGAGGATGCGGTTGCCGACCAGGTCCACCTTGAGCGGCATGTCGCACACGCGCGCGGCGGGCGGCACGTCCCTTTCCGTCTCGACGGCGCGGCCCGTTATTTCGCGCGCCGCCTCCTCCTCGAACCGCACGAGCTGGCCCGCCATGATGTAGGCCATGGCCGGGTTGAAGATGTCGTCGGGCCCGGGAGGGATCGACTTGAGCACCGCCATGGCGCGCCGCCGCACCGCCGGGTGCCGGCACTTGATGGCGAGGCCGTACATCATGGGCGTGATGGAGACATGGATGTTTGTGCTGATGCCCGGCCGCTGCGGCGTGCCGTCGCGCACCGCCAGCGCGAGCAGCTCGGCCGCGCCGTCGACCTGGGCCGCGACGGTGTCGGTGAACATGTCGTACGCCATCTCGTTCCCGGGCTGTGTCTCCGAGAAGGGGAGGAACGTGTTCCCCGAGACGTGCCAGAGCCGCATCAGCTTGATCTCGCGCCGCTCCTCCTCTGTGGGCTTATGCGTCGCCGTGAACCTGTCCAGCGCCGTCAGCCACTGGGCCAGACGCTTCTTCATCGACCACTTTGGCGGTCTCGCCTCTCTCTCCTCCGATGGGCTCCCCGGGCTGTCCGTGTCATCATCATATTCCTCCTCGTATTCATCCTCCTCGAAGCCTCCCGGCGGGAAGTCCGCCAGCAGCAGGTCGAGAGATGCGGCCGCCTCGGCGACGCTGCCGAAAACCGGTTTCTCGCCCTTCTTCAGCATCAGGGGCGGCGGCCCCCTCCCGGACCACCTAGCGACGGTCTTGGGGGTGTCACGCGACAGTGGGAGGCGCGGGACAGGCCCCAGGTTGGTGAAGCTGCAGCCCTGAAGAGCCAAGGTTGTGAACAGCGGCCACAGTTGGGCGCGGATGAGGTGGCCGCTGGGCGACCAGGGCGAGGTCCCGCGGCTCATGCTTGGCACGCTGCCCTCGTGCCACTGAGACAAGATGACCAGGCTGCTCCGCATGTGCGCGTAGCCGCCCGTGTAGCGGCCGCGCAGGTACTCAAAGTAGATGCACAGCAGCGCCGTCGTCAGCGTGACCTCGAGCCCGGCCCAGCCACTGCGGGCCAGGTGGGTGTTGAGCAGCGACACGGCGCGCGTGTATTCCCTGTCGGCGCGTAGCTCAAGCGCCTTCACGCGCGAGAGCCCACCGCTGTCGTCGGCGATGAGGTTGGGGGAAGTAACGTTGAAGCTCTCGTGCAGCGAGCCGAGGGCGACCACCATGGCGCGCACGGGCTCTTCGCGCTGCGCGATCTGCATCACGACCGTCTTCCAAAAGCCATCTTCAAAGTAGCCATTGAGCTCTCTCACAGTCCTCTCGTGGAAGAAGCTGAGCGACCGGCGACCTGCCTGTGGAACCCCTGGGAGCACGCCTGGGGTGGTCCGGCTCGAGGGCAGCAGGGGAGCTAGCCCTCCCTCGGGCGGCTTCCTGTCGGCTAGACCCGTCACTTCGACCGTGGTGATGGGGTAACCCTCGCAAGTTCGACCGGTGGTGGTGCAGCGCAGGCAGGCGGGTCTAGTCAGGTCGCACCGGATCCGGCGGATGCTGCATCGAGGAGCCAATCCATTGCGTCAGTCGAGAGCCCAACAGCCAACAGCCAACAGCCAACAGCCAAAGCGCCGAGGGTCCAGCGGACGGCCCTGTAGCAAGCTCCTGCCATGACACGGACCGCAGGCGGGCGGGAGGGTCTCACTTACCGGCAGACCTTGCAACCGAGCTTGGATCGGGTGTGTGTGGCTCTCTTATTCGCGCGCGGTTTTCCCTGCGACGACGGTGGTGACACCTCGGATGATTCCGAGCTCTCTGATTTGGGGGACATGGCCGGCTGTTAGCCTGTGGTCGCCGTCCGTGTAGTTTCCGTGTGACCTGCAGGGTATCTTTTGCGTGCCGAGTGTCCCCGTTAGTTAGTGGCCTCGACCAGGCAAGGCGCTGCATGCGACGACAGCATCGCCGAACGGGACCGACCAAATCAACGTGGTGGCGGTCAAAACAAAGTCAGAGTCCCCATGTTTCGGCTCGTGGGGCGCTGTCGCGGCCTGTGAGTGGCCAGTTCGCCTATCTGCCCAATGGCGGTGCTCGCCCAGGGTCACGGTTGGCTCCCTATTACGGGTGGCCCTGCATAAAGCACTCGCAAGAACCCACACTGTCAGCCTTTTGCGAGCCCACAAGTGCGAGGTTTAGTTGGATCCCTGTTGCCAAATGCCTCCCTGTTTGCCTGCATACTTATAAAATCAAGGGCATCGCTCCCGGCTTGGAACCTGGAGCATTGTAGTAGAGGCTTTCCCACGAGTTGAAGCAACTTGCTGACCCATCACGCTGCATTGAAACCAAGTCGCATGACTTCGTTCCCAAACAAGACGACACTCTAACAGCGTACTCAAACGTCAACCACAGCAGAGACAAAAACGGACGGATTATTCTCAGGGTATTATTTATCCTCGTCGACTCCATACGACAGCTTTTGGTCTAGAAGAGGTTCGATACTCTTTTCAAGCACATCCCATGGCCGCTGGCTTACAGAGAGTTCTCCGAGTTGAACACCTTGAATGCCTGCTGGATGCGGGTCTTCATGGTCTTCTCGCCTTCCCTGACCCAGACGCGAGGGTCGTAGTACTTCTTGTTTGGCTTGTCGGTGCCGTCGGGGTTGCCGACCTGCGTGTTCAGGTACTCGATCTTGCCAGTAACGTAATCACGGATGCCCGACATGTACGCCCACTGCAGATCCGTGTCCAGGTTGACCTTGATGACACCATACGAGATGGCCTCCTGGAACTCCTTGTCCGCCGAGCCCGAGCCACCGTGGAAGACGAAGAAGACTAAAGGGCGGTTTTACAGCGGTCAGTCACGCAAGCAGAGCGACGAACACTGCGATTTGATTGAAATAGTAATGGGAGCGGCTTACCAGGCTTGTCCTCGGGCTTGCCGAGCTTCTCCTTGACGTAGTTCTGGTGCTTTTGCAGCAGCTCGGGGTGCAGGCGGACGTTGCCGGGCTTGTAGACGCCGTGAACGTTTCCGAAGCCGGCGGCGATGGAGAAGTAGGGGGAGATGGGGGAGAGAGCCTGGTGGATGGCCCAGATGTCCTCGGGCTGGGTGTAGAGGGAGTTGTTGTCGACATCCTCGTTGTTGACACCCTAGATGGTATGATTGTCAGCATCATGTGGAATCGTGCCAAAGAAATGCCCGCAGCCGCAGCCGCCAAAATCAGTGATCACTCAAGACGACATACATCCTCCTCACCACCAGTCAGGCCGATCTCCATCTCCAGCCATTGCTTCATCGGGGCGGCGCGCTTCAGGTACTTGGCCGTGGTCTCGATGTTCCAGTCACGAGGCTCCTCCGACAGGTCGATCATGTGGGAGCTGAAAAGAGGGGTGCCGTGCTCCTTGAAGAAGGCCTCGTCGGCGTCCAGCATGCCGTCGAGCCATGGCAGCAGCTTCTTGGCACAGTGGTCGGTGTGGAGCACGACGGGGACGCCGTAGATGGGGGCCAGAGACCGGATGTAGTGAGCGGCAGCGATGGCACCGGCGATCGAAGCCTCCTGGTTGCCGTTGGCCACGCCCTTGCCAGCGAAGTAGGCGGCGCCACCTTGCGACATCTGCAGGACGATGGGGGACTTGGAGTCGCGGGCAGCCTCGAGGGCGGCGACACTGGGAGCCGGGGCCGGAGGCAAGCGTCAGTCAATGGCGTCCATTTTTCGTCCCTTTGCCGGCTGGCAGACCGCCAACGAGCAGGCAGGCCCCGGGAGAATGAGGCTGGCATCCAATACTTACGTGGTCGACGACGAAGTCAGGTTGATGGCGGGCAAAGCAAAACCCTTGTTCTTAGCATACTCGAACAGCTTGAGGACGTCATCTCCGTAGAGGACGCCGGGCTTGAGGTTGAGGTCGCTGATGACGCCCATTGTTGCGGTAAGCTATTATACAGCTTCAGCTAGTGTTTGTATGGATCGGAGGGAGGCAGTCGAGTGGAATTGGAGTACTTTGCTATGTGGAAGAGACGAGGATGTTGGAAAAGTGAGATCGAGTTCGGTTTGGGAGCAGCGCGATGTGCGGGGTTTTTACTTTTTTTACCTGGGCCGTTTGCGCGGCGTCTGATTCAACACATTTGCTGTGCTGGGGGAGCTACAGCGTCCCGACTGCGGGGTTTTTCGGGCAGCTGCCTCTTGGACCAGGCAGTGCCAGACCCATTGAGGACGGCCGGACGTGCCTGCTTGCTTTTCCTGCAATGTGCCTTCTCAACCTCAACCAACGGGAACCGGTGCAGTTGAGTTCAACTGTGCCTTCCCTGGGCCTGGAAGCCATGGCATCCATGATGCCACACACCGTCGCGCCCCGCCCCACCCCCACCATGACGTTCGTTGCGCGACCTGCGTTGTTTCCTGCAAGCCTGGATCACTCCACAAAAATCCACGCCGCAGCCTTTCCCTTGCAACCGTTGTCTCGCGGCCAATTGGCCTTGGGAGCGCGCGTGAGAAAAAATGTGATACTAGTGCGTGAAATTTAGCCACCGCGCGAATTTCCATGATGGGCGCGGCGGACCAGGCATAGTGGCTGCTTGCTTTTGCTGGGATTTATCCATGTGTTGAACATCAGCCAAGGCCGCATGGCTGCCCCACGGTAATGCCATCGAACCGAGAATTCTAAAACTCTTGCGAGAAAATTACATCGGAATATTACGGAAATATCCGCCGTGTTGCCGTGATACCATCAAAGCTACGTTTCTGTTTGCTCATGCATCCTCGGTTATAAAGTCCTTGGTCCAGGCATCTATCTCTATTCCCGTCATTGCCAACGAAACCAGCATCCAAGCACGCCCACCACAAAAAAGATGATAGTTTTACAGGTCCCAGGGATTAGAAGTGTTAACGCTATAGCTTTCTTTTTTCCATAATGGTATTCCTATAATTGTTCCTGCCGTTCTTCCTGCCGTTCTTCCTGGTTTCATTTCTATTCCTGCTTTCACAGTCCCCGCAGCCATTCCGTTGTTTGGTCGGGCTGGCATCTTTTTTGTGGCAGGCGTGGCAAATCACCGTGATATCGAGACCTTTAGATACCTATCCTGTCCTGGAGCTGGCGTATAGAAGGTCTCGGCGGACCTGGCTTGTTCGTCCTCCTCGGTCGATGCCCTGGTCATACGATGATGGACAACAGAGCCAGGCACAGCGTCAGTCAGGGTGGGGACCCACTTTAAATGGAACCCAGGGCTATTCTGCCAGAGCGGTGAGCCCCGTGCCACGCTCCGTTGTTTGCGACAAAGCACATACAGAAACCCTGGCGGGTAATACTTCGACGATATCCTTACTTGATTGATACGGCGCCTCGTTGATGCCGGCGGAAACAGGGCCACCAACCGTTTGGAAGCCGTCGCGGGGAGGCGCGGCATAGGACGACAGCCATGGCGGGACTGGCGCCTTACACATACATACAGTGCCCCTGCTCTGACCCCTCGACCCTTGGCCGCGCCCCGGAAGCATCGACGCCGCGCGGCTCCGAGGGTGACGGCGGCGGGGACGACGAGGACGACGATAAGACGTTTGACCCCCGCGCCCCGCGATCAAACTACAGCCTCTACCCTCTCGAGTATCTGCTTTATTGCGAGGACTGCCACCAGATTCGCTGTCCGCGGTGTATCGCCGAAGAGATAGTCACCTACTTCTGTCCCAGCTGCCTCTTCGAAGTGCCCAGCAGCAACATAAAGAGCGAGGGCACCAGGTCCGTAGCAGTTACCTATATGCCCGCATCCAATCCTTGCAGAAAGTGCTCAGCTCCTAACCGACGGCATATGCTTCCTCGTCACAGATGCACGCGTAGTTGCGTGCAGTGCCCCATCTGCCCCGGGACACTTTCAGTGTCAGCCGAGCACTCGTCTTCGTCCAGCTCGAGCCGCCCCCCAGCCGACAACACCGCGGCGCCTATGAACTCGTACATCCTCACCTGCTCCTACTGCAACTGGAGCTCGCGCGAGATCGGCATCCACTTCGAGAAGTCTAATAGCATTCATTCGCAACTGCAAAAGATCCGCAATGGCGGCCGCCCGCGCCTGACCCCTAAGGAACGCAGGGAACGCCGCAAAGAGTTCGCCGCGCTGGCCTCCTCCAAACCGTTAGTGGGTCCTGGCGATACCTCGCCTCAAGACGACAATGCGGCCTCTAATGGCAAGAACGGCGCAGGCAGCACGGAGGATGAGAGCGACGACAGCAACGGTCGCATGGACGCCGAGACGCACTACGCAAACCTCAAGTCATTTTACCAATCCCAGCTGGCCGACACGGACCTTAGTGGCGGTCACGGCCTCCTTGGCGACCTCGGCTTCAATTCCCCCGGCTCGTTGTCTCGTATAATGAACCTGTACACGGGCGGGACAAGCATGGCCGACAAGCGCCGCAAGGCCCGCGTTGGCACCATGCGCGAAGCCTTGGATCCGGACGAGGGCCTGAGTGTGCTACGGACAGCAGCCCCTGACGAAACCAAGAGCAACGGTCACAACAGCAGCAGCAACGGGAATGGTAACAGAAAGAGCAAACCAACAAGCAAGATAGGTGACGGGCTGGACGAGAGCGAGGCCATTGCGAGGTTGCGTAAGCTCGGCTGGGAGGGCACAACCACGGCCGAGCAGCGGTCCCGGCAAGCGCCGAACCCCGGGGCGTTCGGCCCACACGTCGCAGGGCCGTTGGTGCGGGCGCAAGACGACCTCCGCCCCGTGCCCTTTTTGCTCCGCACAAAGCGATCCAAGCGCTGCCCCACGTGCCGCCACATCATGACCAAGCCGGAGTCCAAGGTCTCGTCCAACCGCTTCCGCATCCGCCTCGTCGCGAGGAACTACATCCCCACCATATTGGTCCGGTTCCTCGGTAGCGGCGGTAGCGGGAGCACCGCGGGGATCTCCAGCATCAGCAGCGGCGGCCTACTGGCGCCCCTGGAGCCGGTGCAGTACCTGCTCACGTTCAAGAACCCCATCTTCGAGCCCGTGCGCGTCTCGCTCGCCACTCCGTCCACCACGCCCGGCCGTTTCGCCAGCACCGTGACGCTGCTGTGCCCCCAATTCGAGATCGGCGCCAACACGGACGTCTGGGACGAGGCGCTCAAGGACGGCAGCAAGGGCGACGGGCAGAAGGCCCCGCACCGCGACGCGGACGGCGGCGCTGGCGCCGGCGGTGGTGGCGCAGCTGGGGCACCCTCCCAGGCCGAGGCAGGTAAGATCTGGGAGCGCGGCCGGAACTGGGTCAGCATAGTGGTGGAGGTGGTGCCGGCGTCGCTGCGCCCAGATCTGCTCGGCATCGGCATGCCGGCCGACAAGGTGGACCGGAGCCCGCTCAAGCCCGACGAAGACCTACTCGAAATACCAATGTTTGTGCGAGTCGAGTGGGAGGCCGAGCCGGCCAACGACGGTGCCGTAGGCCAGTCTGTGGGCAGGGATAGGGACAGCAAGGAGAAGAGGGAGCTGGCCTATTGGTGTGTCGTTGGCATTGGACGGATCCGACAGCAGTGAGAAGAAAAAAGGAACACAGTATGGCACATGTAATAGCACGGTTGACAAGATACCCCCCATCGGTTTTGTTGAATTTGTTATTTTTTGAATTCCCAAACCCGAAAAGGTATCATGAAAACACCCAGCTTGTATTTTAGTGACAAGCTAAACTAGACGCCGATTCCCTTTTTAGCGGTACCCCGAACTCAATGCAATTCAGGAGGCAAAAGAGCCGAGGTAAAAGAGCAGTCCCGTCCACATCCCGTGGAACCCCGCCCCGTGACGATAAGGATCCCCTCATAAAAAAAAAGACCAGAGATGCTACCCCAACCCAGACAGACAGCGTCGCCTAGTAGTCGGTAGCGCCGGCCTGGGGGAACTCGAAAACGACAACACGCCCGGTGAGGCGGCGGTAGACCTCGGAGTAGGTGTCAAGGCGGTAGTCGACGCCGCCGCGCTCCTTCTCGTCCAGGATGACCTTGAGGACCTTGCTGTTGTCCTCCTTGGTGCGGAGACGCTTGCCGACGATCTCGACGGGGTAGACGAGGTCGGTCAGGATGGCATCGTGGACGGCAGTCAGGGTGCGCGAGCGGGGGCGCTTCTGGGTCTGGGTGTTGCGCGAGCGGTTGGAGCGCTTGGGACGGGGCAGGATGCGGCGCGAGGCCAGGATCAGGACGTGGCGGTCCGAGAACTTCTTCTCCAGCTCACGGGTGAGGCTGTGGTGGGGGATGAGAATGACGAGTCAGCGCTCCCCCATGACGTTGGAGATGGAGAGGATACCACGGTATGGCACAAAGAAACTTACCGTTGCTGGACACGGTGAAAGCCCTGCAGGGAAGGGACGGGGACAAAGATGGCAATAGCCTTCTTGCCGTTGCCAACCTCGATCTATGAAAAGATCAAAGAAATCAGCATGCGAGCTCCAGGATGGTGTTTCCGATGAAGAAATGCCAATCCATGGACCGCTTCCCGTCCGATTCCACGACGCCCCTCTTGTCTTGGTTTGTTGTCCGACAATCGTCTGAGTCTCGGCCATTCGAAGCGGGAGAAGAGAGACACGGCTGGCGTGAACGTCTTTGCACGAGGCCAGCGAGCTCCCGGCGCTTGGCCGCAGCTCTGAGCCCTAGACTAGTTCCGACGCCGGCCGAGTATGTCGACAAATTCTCCCGTTCTCCAGATCGCGATCATTGGATATCGTGCTCAATCGAGCCCCAATAGAGGTCGCCGGGTTTTCCGTCGGTTCGCGAGGTCCGCTGCGTGCGCCCGAAAGGCCGTCCTCGCGCATCATCCTCTCGCCGCCGTCGATCCCTCCTCTTCTGGAATTTATTTTCCCGTCGCGGCTGGTTTGGTCATTTGCGAAAAAAGGAGTGTCTTTCAAGTTCTCACCTCACGGGCAGAGACGAGCTGCAGAGGGCGCAGAGCAGACTTCAGGTCGGCAGTGTTGGTCTCGAGGTCGTAAAGGGCGCCAGCGATGCTGGTCTCCAGCTCCGAGGGGTTCTGACGCGACGGGCTGTTCGCCGCAATCTTGTTAAGTGCCGGTGTGGTCATCTTGACTGACTTTCCGCTGGAAGGGGAGCCGGATTAGTTGAGGGGGGAGATGGGCGGTTCTTCGCGATGCTTCCGAAAGAATTGACTGCAAAAAACGAAGGCGGAAAAAAGACAAGCAGAGCCCCACGGATTTGGGCTGTCAATATTGGGGTTTGTGAGCCCTCATTGCGCACGGACCAGTAGGGTCAGGTCTGTCCCGCAGCTGCCGATGTTGACCCGATATTGCTGACTAACACTGGCAAGGGCGAATTCTTAGCGCGCGAGTCCGCTTGGCCCTGGCAGGGCCGGGACACACAGCTTCCATCTCAGAATGGAGCTATCGACAATGATGGCCATGGCCAATATTCCACCAAAGAAGCGGCCACAGAAATGGGCCTGCTGGGACTTGGAGCTCCTATTATGTCATAGCAGTCAGTGCGGCCACTATGCCCATCATTTAAAAGCGTCTACAAACAGTTTCGCCGCGCTTCTGAACCCCATCCAACCCATTGCCAGTCATCCTCCCAGGCCGTCCTGCCATCAACTTTAGCGCCGTTTCCGTTGTCGTGGCGCTTCAGGCACACCGCGGACGTTACCTTTGCCATCATCCATGTCTTGATGTAGACCAAAATATCGCCATCAGGTTTGAATCCGCGACCGAGATCATCCATTCCAGGTCGTATCTCCCGGGTTTGTCACCGGCCTGTAACCTCTCAAAGTAGCTTCCACCGATATCAAGATCCCACTTGGCTCCTTGATGGGGAAGGGTGGGATGCCCAGGATGCCGCAGCTAGGGGCTTTCGGATGTTGGTTCCCAGTAGAGAGCTCCGAGCTGGGTGAGATCTAATCGAGTTGACTACTGCATGCACTGAAAAATCGGGATTCGAGAAGAGAAAGCGGGATCAAGAATATCATGGCACACAAGTGCTGGTGATATCAAGCAACAGACCTACCTCGTTTCATGAATGAACAGCCACGAAGACATCTAGAGTTCTCAGAGTAACTGGGCTTTCCTTGCCTAGACAAACCTAGAACCGCACCATCAAGTTGTAGGGTATAAGATGAGGAAACGAAGGTCTGACAGCCAACGGCCTATTTGCTCTCGAATATCGTGGTGATCCCTTCAGGGGGTCCCCTACCGCCGAAAGGTCTACCTAGTGGCGCAGATCGATGCTGCGACTCTCCAACGTATAAGAGCGGAAGGTGCAAAGAATGAGCGAAAGAACGAATGGATGTCTAAACGAAAAACCATAGCCCTAATGCAGCGCCAAAGCTGAAGCCTGCGAATCCATCGTCTCGTCAAGACGGCACACAAGGGATTATGTCTCTCCCGTCTCTTCCCTTTGCATATGCCACCCAGAACTCATTCATTCGCGCCCCAACCCGAGAAGAAGGCATACACAGTCCCGACAAGAGTTCATGTTTGAAGATCAAGATGTTTCGGCACGAATGAGGGAGGGGGCGGGGGAGGGCTACAGGCCCGTCGGCGCAGGCCCGAAGTAGTCCGGGATCCGTTTGTTATACCAGTTCTCCCGGCGTGACTCCCTGAACAACACCAGCTCTTTGTAGCCCTCGACAAGCCAGTCGAGATCCTGTGGGCGGATCTCTTTCAAATGACAGTTTGACACCGCGCAGCACAAGTAGTGGACGTATGGGTTGAAGGGCAGACAATCCTCCACGCCTGCCAGAAGTGCCGCTTGCCATGGCTCGGGCTCGTCGCCCACCGCCTCCAGCAGCTCACCGGTCGGGGGCGGCAGATCAATGACCATGCTAGGGTTCGACCGCCAGTCGTCCAGCAGCGCGCGCACCTTGTCGTGATCGACCATGTCCGGTTGAGGTAAATCCTCCGAATAATCCACCCCAGACTGGCTGAGCAGCGCCCGTAGCTCACGGCTCAACCTTGCCCTTGAGATTTGCGCAGTCGTTCCATGGCTGCGATCCTTGCGGATGACAGTCTTGGACACCAACCCTTTCCCAATGATGCCGTTACGCCACTCGTTATGCGCCAGGTTCAGCCCCCACGAGCTCGTCGTCATCGTAAACCCAGGCATGAGGTCGGCAAATGTAAGAAGGTGTACTGGCAGGCCGGTGTCAACCTCGTATGCCGCGGCAGACTCGGGAACTGAGTGTCCCCAACCCATCTGGGCCCAAGGAGCAGCGAGCCCGGCGCTTGTCAAGATTCGTGAAACGCAGGTGACAGCCAGCTGGTACTCGTCGAATTGCTTCGACCTCTCGTGGTAGGCCATGAAGCTCAAGGTTTTGAGTCTTCCCTGAAGCAAGAGCCGCCGGAGTGCGGGCAGAGCCTCCGAGGCGTAAGAATGGAGACTGCAGTCGAAGCACATCCCCCAGAAGGCGAGAGGGGAGGAGGGGATCCAAACATAGACGTCGTAGGCAAAGGCAAGAGTGAGTGAGTCAAGATCGGCCCCCAGAGCAACCAGCGCCTGGATTGCGAATGAGCTCTTGTAGTGCGCCGGATAGGTTGCGTCATCGCTATCGCCGGGTATTCGCATGCGGGTCAGGTGGGGGAAGGCTGCTTTATCGAGAATCCGGACGACTACCATGCGACGGATGGTTCGTAGACTCTTAGGGCTGAGGGGGGCCGAGCAGAACTGCGGTGGGAAGTCGGCAGAGCGACTTGGTGGCGTTTCGGACACCGGCTCGCGCATGTTGAAGACATTTTTCTGGAAGAAGAGGGCTGAGCCGGTGCGATAGAGTGTACGGCAGGTTCTGAGAATCGCAAGGGTGTTCTTGCCGACATTGGAAGCTGCACCCAGATAGAAGCTGCCATTGTAGCAGAGATGGATCTCGTCGTCTCCGAAGACGAGCAGACGAGATAGAATGGCGGTGACGAGCTCTGTGGGTAGACAAAGTATCGGGGACGCTGAGGGCGGTCCCCCAGCTGAGGCCGGTATCAGCGACATCCGCAGCTGTGGTTATCGCCTTGGTGAAGCTGTGTGTCGCTGGCTCGTCTCGTTTCCGGGCGGCTACTCTCTTCCCGAGTATTATTCCTCGCTACTTCTTGCCTTGGTTGGTCGTTCTGCCTTGGTACATCGGAGATCAGGCTTGCTGATGAAGACGAGGTGATACTGCCTGTCTTGAGAATGGCGGTAGCTTGGAAGAAGACAAAGGGGAAGAATCAGAGCCCCAAATGACTAGCGCCTGGTATGTAAGAGGTAAAGCAGAGGAAAGGGAAACTGGAAGAGAAGGATGCCCGGGAAAAGAAGCGGGAGGAAAGTAAGAAAAAAATAAGAAAGGCGGGTGGTAGGTAGGTACCTAGAGGTAGTGAGTGGGTCATGGGGAATGGATGGGTGCCAGTGGGAAGGAGCTATGGGTAGGCAAAGCAGGAGGAGCAACGGTCGATTCCGAGGAACGTAGACTAACTCGTTCGCCAGAAATATTCTGTTACTCTGTTCGCCTCTCTTCGGCCATATGTCTCTTAATAGTCTGCTTTATGCTTGTTTCCTTTCTGCCTCTGTTTCCAGCTTCATGTCCTGGATACCATCGATTGTAAAGGCGTACATGCACTGCCGAGGGCCGCACATAACAGCCTACCAGGGCCGTCGCAGTCGACACTGTGCAGTAAATAGTATAACGGAGATTCTAGTCATATCGACAGCAAGTCGAAGGGAAGGGGGCCAGAGGGCGGGAATACAACCTGATACGCGAGGAATCCAAACAAGCAGGTCGAGAAAAAGGACGGAACGAACGACAGGAAGGGGTTAAAAAAAGAAGATATATAAAGGAATACTAAGCATGCCGGGCAATCGTTGGACAGACAGTCTTCTACAATGCTGCAACCCTGCTGGTTCCTAACCGGCACTGCGCGTGCACCTGCATAGCAGAGGTTGGGGGGATCTCTAACCACGACGCCCACTAAGGCCTTGGGTGATCTTGATTATGTATATATACCCGTTCTCTTGCTTGCCATCGCGCAGAAAGGTCTCTTCTGCATAAAGCACAAGTATATGAACCCTTTCCCAGCTCGACGGGATTATTGTTGGTCGTCCTAAAAGGACGGGAATTTATGAGCGTGGCTAACTTCTGCCAGCATAGCTTTTGTTTCTATATTTGGTAACAACACCCACGTTTGGTGTAAAAGAAACCAGGTCAGAAATCAGCTCGGGCAGGTGTCAATTATGTACAAACAAAGCCGCAGACGGAAGAAACGCCGAGGAATCAGGCAGCAAAGGCCTTGTCGTAGCCTGTCATGCAGAACCTGTAGCGGACGTCGGTCTTGTGCACGCGCGTCAGGGCCTGCTTGAGCCCGTCCTCGCTAATGGGGATCTCCTCAACCCAGGATTTGATGCCCTTGTCGGCGGCCAGCTTGAGCATGTCGAGCGTCTCGCGGCGCGAGCCCAGATGGGAGGCGCCGACGAAGACGCCGTTGCTGAGCAGGGACTGGTTGCGCATCATCATGCCCTCGCCCTCGGGCAGGCCGACGCTAACGAACTTGCCGTGCACGTCGAGCAGGCCCAGGTAGGCGCCAAAGTCCCAGCCCTCAAAGGACGAGGCCGTGTTGAGGATGACGTCGAACGTCATGGCGTGCGGCTCGTTCCAGCCCTTCTCCGACGTGGCCAGGAAGCCGTCGGCGCCCATGGCCTTGCAGTCGGCCTCCTTGGCGCGGCTGCGCGAGATGGCCCAGACCTCGGCGCCCAGGGCCTTGGCGAAGAGGAGGCCGAAGTGTCCGATGCCGCCCATTCCCAGGATGCCGACCTTCTTGCCCGGGCCAACGCCGTTGCGCACCAGGGGGCTGTAGGCCGTCAGGCCCGCGCACAGCATGGGGGCCGCGGCGGTGCTCGAGAGCGCGTCGGGGATGGGGAAGACCCTGTGGGTGTGTGTCGTGTGTCAGTGCGGGGCCAGTGGTGGCTTGCAACGTGGGCTCGGGTCAGGACTCACCAGTGCTCGTGTGTCCTCACGTGCGACGAGTAGCCGCCCTGCGACACGATGCCCGTGTCGGGCCAGGTGGCGCCATATGTGTCGAGTTGCTTGGTGCAGTACGTCTCGTTGTCGTTCTTGCATTGCCTGCAGTCCAGGCACGCATACGACTGAGCGCCCACACCGACGCGCTGGCCCTCCTTGATCAGCGTTACCTTGGGGCCGACGCGAATGGCCTTGCCGACAATTTCTGTGGGCGTCGTGGATCGTTCTGTCAGCCTGCTATTCTCTCTGGTCGTCCTGGTGGTGTGATGCTTCTGCCCTTCCCCGATCGCATCCCCCTACTCACCGTGTCCGACTACCAAGGGGAACTTTTGGTCTCCCCAGCCGCCAGAAACAGTGTGGACATCGCTGCCGCAGACTCCGCAGGCCTCGATCGAGATGTCAACGTCGTAGTCGCCAAAGGGCTTCGGCTGGAACTCGTTCTTGTGGAACTCGGTCCAGGTCTCCGGGCCGTAGACCTGGAAGCCGGTGAACTTGTCGGGATAGGGCATGGTTAATAGCGGCGGGAAGCCTCTCGTGGGAGTAGCGTGTCGGGGTAGGAAAAGATCTAGAGCCTAGCTAGACCGGAACAGCAACAATGGCAGTGTCGGAGGCTCAATCGAGGTCAGACTGGAGGGGAACAGTGGCCGAAACGCGGGAGCAGCCCCCGCCTTTTTATTCAGTGTCAACCCGCGTCACAAACCACACATGGAGGGGCCGGCGTGGACCAGGAGGCAGGAAGCGCTCCGGGGCGACGGGCGGGTCACTCCTGACCTTACAGATTGCCTCCTCCCGCGCGAGAGGGCCGCGGCGTTCCAGCCGACTTTATCCGTCGGGAGTGGGCGGGCAACGGGGTGGTGGCCTGGTGGCCCCAGCCTGGAGAGCGCAGTGTTTGACGTTTGTGTTTGTCGGGTCACCTCTTCTGAGCTCTCAACCCCTCACTGTGCCCCTCTCCCCCGGTTTTCGGTCGCCTGCCCGACCCCCACCAAACGGCCCCTCGAACCACAGCCCAGGCGACCATCCCCAGGTCTAGAGGAGTCGGCAGAATCGCCGAGGGTCCACAGGGAATCACCTGGACTTCGGTGAACGGGTGATGGTTGTTAGTCCGAGGGTTGCAGCTGCCTGTAAGGTGGATAAATTGCCGGGGAAAAAGAAACCAAAATTTCCACCAAGCAGAGCGCAGCGCCAGACGCTCTCGTTGGCGTCCCCGGAAGGGACTCGAGCAGAACAAAGAACGTAACCTCGTGGGAGCAAGGCAAAGGAACCCTAACAAAAGGAACCGATCCCGGGCATCTGAAGCATTGTCTCAACGATAGTGCGCCGGGTCGACGTGGACTAGAGGAGCAAGATGGCTTGGCAGCGACTAAACTCGCGTCTTTCGCGATCGGCTCGGCTCGGTTATCTTCCTTGGCCGTTTAAGTCAGACGAGACGATGGTGAACTCGGTACGCCGAGACCCCCAAGTGGCCGTGGAAGGTGAACAGTAATGACGTAGACCAGAGCATGTGTCTGTAGTCGCCAACATCGGCCAAGCCGGAGATGGGAGCGACGACGGTGCATTGCGAGGGTATATATATACATACGACTGCTCATGAACCCTGATGGCTCACAGCCCCGCTGGGTAGCAAGGAGCCGGGCGAGCCGCATCCTCGCCCGAACCACAAGCCTGTAACCTTGATGGCAGAGCTACCATCGACCTCCTCCTACAGCAGAGCAGCGCAGATCGCATGCAGATCCACCACCACTACCCAGTCTCAAGCGGCCTTCGCCCGCCCCGACCCGCCACGTGCAGCCGCAGCTCCCCCTCCCCCGGCGCCTCCGAGCCCGACCCCCGACAGGAAGGCGACGCGCATCGAGGCGCCCAGGTACACGAACGGCACGTTGCCCCAGTCGATGGCGTTCCACCGGTCCGCGCGCCAGTAGACGGCCCAGCCGAGCGGGCGGACGGTCCAGAGGTGGCCCAGGTCGGCGAGCAGCAGCACGGCGAGCACGACGCGCCAGACGCGCAGGTCGTTCGTGGACCGCAGCACCAGGGCCTCGTTGAGCGCGAACAGGAGGTACAGGTTGGCGAGCTGCGAGAGCGCGATGGCGGTGCCGCGCGGGATGTCGCCGCCGCCACTGGTCGGCGACGAGGCGGCGTCGGTGAGCTCGAGGTAGTGCCGCTGGCCAAAGTGCGCGTAGTATGCACCGACCAGGGCCGAGACGGGCTCGATGAGGAGGAAGAAGACCCGGTAGGCGACGGGGAGCTGGAAGGAGCCCGGGGCAGGGGTGGGCTGTTGGCGGGGTTGGGGCGCCATGATCTCGCCCGCTAGTGCGTGTAAGGTGGGAGCGGTTTTATCCGTCTCTGTTGTTATCGAATGCGGAAAGGCTCGATAAATGCCAGGTCAGGAGTCTGTGTGCCCGGTGTGCAGAAATCGACCGTGTCGGCGGTGAAGGTTAGGGACCAACAGCCGTCGGCAGCTCTGACCGGAGAAGACCCCCCGAGCAGGCCAGAGACACGGCTGGCCTTGGAAACAAGCTCGCCCCCCTGAAACAATCCCAAGCTCTGAGCTCTCCACGTCAGCTCTATCTGAGAGACAAAAGTGACCCTGGTTATACCGCAATAGTTTCCAGCTTGTGCTCTCCTCGCCGAGAAGCGGTAACGAGGTGTGCTGTGTGGGGAGCAGCCCCAAGCAATGCACCCCTAGTGGTTTTTCCTATCTCGGACTAGCTACCCACACAGCTACAGGTTGACGCAAGCAGGAAGAGGATGATAGGGCGACGTATAACGTTTGCGATGCCCATGCCAACCAGATGAACGGTCGAGATGAAGGATGGAGGGCGGCTTGTTAATTCATTAATTATATGGAAAGGGAAGTACCGCGTGTACACCGCCCGCCCGGAATAGGGCTGACTACGTACGCCCTAACTAAATTGGTAAGTCTTATCCTTCGGTCCTTCGATTAGACTGTTTAGAAGAAACATTTGCGAGTGTTTTATGCTCACTGGGATGTTAGGGTGACTTAAGTGGAAGCTGTGCGAGAGTGGCCCTTATCGCCTCTCTCACTGGGAGCGGGAAAACAGCAAGGAGGTAATATTACCGCAGCATACACGAAGGCGTGGGGGGGGGGGGGGGGGCGGGGACGGGACGACGACGACGTACGT